GCACCGAGTGGCACGGTGAGGTACTAATCCCCGCGTCTCCTTTTCGGTGCCTTCCCAATCCAAACCCTTCTTCAGGGGTAGAGTGGAGGGGGGAGTGGGCGGGTTTCTATTAGAGTCCGAACCGGAGAACCTTTCCCGGTTCCTGGAACACCTGCTAGACAGCCAATCTGGCTTGTGAAGGCGCGGCAAAAGAGGAGTTTAGCTATTTTTTTTCCGCTAATTGGAAACCGTTTATCGGATTACGACCGGGGAGGTCTGTGATGTCGATCACTCTCTCTCTCTTTCTCTTTTTATCTCCCTCTGGCTTCCGGGAAGCGGAGGGGCCGATTAGAAACTGGATCGCACGACCACGATATCCTGGAAACACCCGGAACCCCAGACAATTGTCAAACTTAAGTGCACGTTTTTTTTTTTGTTTTTTTTTTTGACGTTTTGAAAAAACAAGTCCTGACAGTCTGCAGACATGTATTGTTTTTCTAGCAGTCTTGATTTTGTGACTGTGATAGGTTCAATAATCTGTCGGCGACACGCAAAATTTGATAACGCCGTCTGAGAGCGAGAGCCTGATAGCAGCCTCTATCAGTCTGAAAGATTTGATATCACTGTTTGATCAGAATGCCTGCACACTAAAGATAAAGGGATATAGAAAGTGTGACCTGGCGCACCTAATGCATCCGCTGGCTTCAGTGAGTCACGGAAGGTTCAAGAAAGCCAGAGTCAGACGCGAGATAGAGAGCGGGAGAGAGAGAGCGAGAGAGAGAGAGAGAGGGAGAGAGAGAGCGAGAGAGAGAGAGAGAGAGGGGGGGGGATTGGCGATGAGTTGGCCGCCTAAACCTGTCCTAAACCCTCATAGGCGGGCAGGGCGGGCCTTAAGGCTGACAGGTGGACGCGTCCACCACGTCCGCGGACTTGGAAAAACTTGCGCTGGTACACTGTGGGCTCGGTTTTATCGTGGCGTCGTGACAGTGTGGTGCCGCATGGCCCGTCACGCCCAGCCCGGCCCAGCCCGGCCCAGCCCCATTCGCGGGCCGTCCCTTACGGTGGCATGGGTGCGGGGGAGACAGCGGGAGGCGGCAGGGCCTGCCCGCGCCCATGCCACTCATATCATAACGATGCCAAATCACAAGATGGCCGTGCTGGCCGTGCTGCAGACTGATTCCGAGAGTGGTCGCTCTGTCTCTCTCGCACTCAAGGGGAGGCCGCTTGGGTGCGAGAGAGACAGAGAGACCACTCTCGGAGTCAGTCTGATGGCCGTGACAGTGGCGAAGGAGCGGGGCGCGGGCGGCGCGGTCCTCCAAAGGACCCTCGCGATGACGGCCAGGACCAGGACGCCGAGGAGGCCGAGGACGCCGAAGACGCCGAGGACGCCGCCCAGCTGGCTGTGCACTGTGAAAAACAGGACTCCGCCCCCAGGCCACCAGCCCTGGGGCCCTGGGGCCCTGGGGCCCTGGGGGCGAAGCAAGCCTAGAGGAGGCACCTGGCCCGTGACTCGGACGGCCTACGGTATCCTACCGACAAACACAAACAAGCACACACACACACACACGCAACTGTGCCGAAATCTCGGCGAAAGTCTCGAGTATTTGCATGGGGACTATCGGCAAGTCATGCCTGCGGCGCTAAGCTCGGAGAGAGAGAGAGAGAGAGAGAGAGAGAGAGAGTTAGTGAGTAGTGAGAGAGTGAGAGCCCCGGGGCGCGTCGCGGCGCGGTAGTCTCTGGGGATTCCGCTACCCCCCCCCCCCCCCCCGCCGCACTTCGCGATGACTTTTGGCACGCGGACAAGGCGGCGAGCCTGGCCCCGACCATGAACGTGGAACAGAGCAATGGTCAAGCACGCCAAGAAAAAAAAAGTTAATTCATTTAGTCAAAGTTTTCTCCTCTGTCCCGCTAAGCAGAACGGCAAAAGGATTCTGCATGCGCTGCGTGGAGGCTGCGGAGACAGTGTCGCAGCGACTCACGCGCGAGAGAACGCATCCGAGCAGTTCATTATGAGTTCTCCTTGGTCTCGGCGTAACGTTCAAGGTGCATATCTGTACGCTCCGGTATAAATTTGCAAAAAAAAAAAGTCAAACTTCCTGTTAAACCGTCTGCCTCCGGTTGAGCCAGCCAGCGTCGTTTTGCCGCGGAATGCGGCTCTTCCGGAGCGTGCCCGCTGCGGGGTAAACTCATTACCCGAGAGCGCGCAGAGCGGCGCAGCGGCATTGGGACACAGCTGGGCAAGCCGGGGCCAAATGACCAAAGCGACCGTCAAGGACCGCATTGGACCGCAGCGGCGCAGCACAGTGGGCCAGAAGGCCGGTGGAGGCGGCCGAAACTCAAGACGTGCTTCGAGCTACAGCGACCCCACCAATGGATTGCTCTCCGAACGAGGAATCCATTGGTGGGGTCACACGTTCGGTTCGAGCCCTGTTTAGCGACTCTGGAGCTCAAAACGCGTCTAGAGTTGTGGCCGCCTCCACCGGCCTTCTGGCCCACTGTGCGCAGCGCGCCAAAGCAAACACGAGCACGCTCCACGCGCAGTGCGGCATGGACAGCGTGCCACTCGTGCCACTCCAGCGCGGGGAGGATCACCCCCTGTTTCCCCCCCCCCCCCCCCCCCGCCACCAAGGCCATCAGCTGGCGGGCTGCTGTCGCTGTCAGCAGCCCGCGGTCCACGCCTCGACGGGGGCTGCAGGTTGCAGCGGAGACGCTCAAGGCGCGGAAGCCGATTGCCACGGTTGTCGTTGTGTCCGCGACACTGCTTACTCTCGCCGGACTGAAGTGTCCTGGCGTGACACGGCGTGTCACGGTACTCACGACACTCGTGGCACCTGTGCGCCAAACTGGCTCGCCGTTCAAAGGGCTTCGCGGACGCCGTGTCGACGCCGTGGCGCCCCAGGTGCGAACGGGTGTGAAGCGAGCAAACGGCGTGTGGACCACACGTGGTGAGCGCACGTGGCGGCACGCGGCGTACCTGTGGTCATCTTCTGCCTGGGCGACATCCCGGTGTTGGAGTGGAAGGACACGGCCTTGCGGCGCGGCGCGGCGGGCGTCGAGGACGCCGTCATGCACGCGGAAGCCCCGAAGGCGGTGCCGTAGGCGCCGTAGGCCGAGGTGGCGGCGGGGGCGGCGCCGGCCGCGTGGTGTCCGCCCCCGCCGCCCCCCGGCCCGCCCCCGGCGTGGGGGTCATCCGAGTCGCCGAGGTCCACGAGGTCGGCGAGCTGACTCAAGTCACCCGGGAAACTGTCACAGTCGGACTCGAGATCCACGTCCGCGTCGTGGTCCGTCATGGCCCGCGCGCCGAGCCGAGCTCGGGGAACTGTCGAGCCGAGCCGAGCCAGCCGAGCCGAGCCGAGCCGAGTACAGATCGTCCTGCGCGCGGTGCGCGGTGCGCGGTGGCGAGACGCTCTCCCTCGCCGAACGTAGCGACCGTGCTCGCGGCCGCAGCGCCGCGTCCTGACTAGTGCAGGGCACGGCGGCGCGGCCCTGTGGCTGGGGATGTGCTGGGGCGTGGGGGCCTCACCACGCCGTGGGGCCCAGCGGCCTCACGCCCCGCCGCGCCCCGCCGCGCCCCGCCCCGCCCTTCGGCCGATCTATAACAGACACACACAGCCTTACGCCGTGCCGGTGCCGCCGTGCCTGGCCGCGCTAGCCGTGCCCCTCCACGAGAGGGCGAGCGGCAGGCCGTACGCCAGCGCCCCCTCGCGGCGCACAGGGCAAGTTTTTGGCGAGCCTCGGCCGGCCTAGAGTGCTGGCCGTGCTGGCCTAGCGTCCCACAGTGGGCCAGAAGACCGGTGGAGGCGGTCAAAACTCTCGACGCGTTTTGAGCTCCAGAGCCGCTAAGTGAGACTCAAACCGAACGTGTGACCCCACCAATGGATTGCTCTCCGAACGAGGAATCCATTGGTGGGGTCACACGTTCGGTTCGAGGTCTGTTTAGCGACTCCGGAGCTCAAAACGCGTCTAGAGTTTTGGCCGCCTCCACCGGTCCCCTGGCCCACTGTGCGTTTTGGCCCGGGCCTTGCTGCGCTGCGCTGTGCTGCGCTGTGTCGCGGCGAAAGCGACGCGCCCCCGCGTGGCTGTGCGGCGGGCTGCCGAGCTGCCAGTGGTACGCCAGTGGCATTCCCTCCCACCCCATCAGCACCACCGGGCGAGCGCCACCCGCGCCAGCCAGCCAGCCAGCAGGGCCAAGGCTCCTAGCCACGGTCTAGCGCCGTCCGCGACCCCTGGCGACGCCTGACGGTGGCTGCTGGCACTACCCGGGACTCGGGGCGAAGGGCGCCCGGTCCTGCTTCTCACCGCTCGGTTCCCTCGGTTCCCTCGTCCCTCGGTTCCCTCGCATGGATCCATTTGACTCCCCCGGGGCGGCGTGCTCCATTACGGCAGCTTTTCGCATACAAGGCGAGACTGCCTGCCGTCTGATTCCGAACACTGCTTTCGTCGCTCTGTCTCTCTCGCACTCATGGGGCGGTCCGCAGGGGTGCGAGAGAGACAGAGCGACGAAGCAGTGGCAGGCAGTCCCGCACGCAGCTTTGTCGGCGCTCTGCCTACCTGCACGGCGGTATGCCGCACAGTGGATTTGCCCGCGGCCAAAACTCCAGACGCGTTTTGAGCGCCAGAATCGGTGAACGGGACTCGAACCGAACGTGTGACCCCACCAACGAATGCCTCGTTCGGAGAGCAGTCCATTGGTGGGGTCACAGGTTCGATTCGAGTCGCCTATGGGTATATGGTTTATTTCCTGGTGGGGTCACACGTTCGATTCGAGTCCCATGGGTACATGATTTATTTCCCGAGTAATAGTGCACTCGTTCTTACACATTGAATAGATCAAAGGAAATTTAAAAAAAAAAAAAAGAAACTTTAGATTAGTTTTAATTTTTTATTCAAATAGGCACAGAAAACACGACATGTCGATGACTTGAATAAGAGCAACCAAATAAATAAATAACAGTAAAGGACAAGGAATACAAATACTGTGATATTTACAGAAAACAAATTTGGAATGCAGTTCTTTCTTCTTGTTTGCCTTAATTTCTGCATCAAGAAAAAAATGAATTTTAGTTATGGGAGTGGCATGTTTAAAAATTACCTAAATTTACTTTATGCACTTACATTATCTGGCAGCAGCAGGTGCACCCTCTGGTTGTCCAGCACTTGATAAAAGTACAAAGATCAACAAGGGAACAATGTACATCCACTGCAAGAACAGAAAAAAATAATAATGAAGGCACAACTTTAAAGAGCAGTGTTACAACTGGATCACACAACACTGGAACTCACATATTTAGCAATAAAGGATCGGTTGTCCTTCTGGTCTCCTCTTTCTCTGGCGTCTCTTTCACGCTCCATCTTTTGAATGTAAGTGGCTGTGTCGGGCCTGCAAGAAAACAAAGACAATGTAATAATCAAAACAAACCTGTCTTCCAATATTGGCAATCATTCATTATTTCTTACACTGGTCCATTATCCATGTGTCTCACAACAATCGTTGTATTGAAAAATCTCAGCTTTTCATCAGGTGGGATTGGAGCTCCTTGGCAAATGCCGTAAGGCGCTGATGCACTGATGGCGATCACTCCTCCACTGTGATCCAAGTTCACAGTCAAAACGTCACTGAAGCCTGATTCTACAAGAGCGCACTATAAACACACACAAAAAAAACAACAAAAAAAAAACAGCTCATCAACATGAAGATAGACAGACATTTCGTTTAAGTACATCACTACGTCAACACTTACAGCTTTCATGAACGTCAGAAACTCCACAACTTTGTTGGAGCTGGTGACAACTGTAGCTTGCATACGATAAAGTTGATCATTTTTGGCAAGAGCCTGAATGGAAACGGAAAGGAAAAACATTTTCAACCTCTCTAAGGAGGGCAACAATAATCACATGTAATCCGCAATGACCATGACTTGCCTTGAGTCTTGTTAAATGATGTGGCTTGATAATGGCTTGAGAAAGGGCTACTGAACCTGTTCGAATGCTTTGAATTGTGAGATTTCCTCGGTCCTCAGGATTGCCATCATCTGACAAGTAATGCCGCAGTCTTACAATGATGGTTCCATCAATTTCGAAATCATACTGAAACATGAATCAAAACAGAACAAGAAAAATATAAGAAGCTCATCAAAGAGAGGGATCATTTCGTCCTTTGAGTCTTCAAGTTGAATATCTTCAAAAACAATGAACTAATAAGTACATAACCTTTCCCCTGTATGACACAACAGTATTATTGCTTACCCTATCACCTAATACTAGTGTGGAACAAATGGATAGTAATACGAAAGCAAAATACGGATGGTTTGATCTGATCATTTTTGATTGATCATATGATTGATCATACAGCAGCGACAGAACAGTAAACTTTGAGTTCGCTTCGTCTCGTCTGCTGCGTCTGCTTTTCTTCTGCTTCGGAACCGGTTGCTCTTACGACGAACGTGGTATAGATGTGGAAGTACCAATAGGAAGTGCATCTTTCTTCGGAAACATTCAGGCGTGAAGTGGTATTTGTCGTCAAAAATGGTCTTCAACTGCACGGAGCCAGGATAATTTAGGTTCTTTTGTTCTTTATGAATGATTTTTATCCGAAGAGCTACGGGCGACCTTTCCGAATTTTCCTGAGGCGTGTTGGCGCCCTGGAGTCGGCAGCCTGCCTCGGCGAACGCGGCCGCGAGTGTTTGTAAACGAACGCAGTTTTTTAAAGAAAGCAATACTTTTCCAAATTTACCCACACTGAAAATGTTGCGAGAGCAGTGACGCTTTGAAGGTAATCGCTTTGCGTACATGACCGTGCCCCATTCCGTTGCGTTGGTGAAATGCGAGTGGGACGGGCAGGTGTGCAGTGGCTTTTGTGTACTGCATCCAGCCAGCAGTGATGTAGAAACGTAAACTTTTGCTTTCATCTACTTGTTTTGATGTTAAATTGTTGTATCAACAACTAACTTGTCGCGCTGTTCAGAGAGAGATGTCAAATTTGATGTGTGAGCCCCCTCGTCGCAAGCCGGTGCGTTCTCTTTGAAATGTGTGCGGATTAAAACCTTGCGTGTCACAGCGTGAGAAACTGTTTAGTGGTTCCAGTCGAACTTGGGTTATTGGGCACACTTTTCTCCCTTTTGCTCATTAATGTCATTGAATAGGCTTGTATTCCAGCCGGTTTTATCACAAACACTGGGCTAGACTTTGAGGCCCCTGCAAGTTTTCGCATTTAGTTTGTTGTTATCTTGATTTTACAAACATGTTATGTCCTACATTAATCACTCAAGGTTAGGTTACCTCCCCCATGTTTCTGTTTACATTTTGTTTAAGAAGTGTGTTTTTATCATCTTTCTCACTTGCATTATTTGCACTTTCGTACATTGTGGTTGTTGCTCATTGTAAAATCTGTCTGTATCATTTAATTTATTTGGGTTTTGAGAGGTTATGTGATCAATCACTGTGTTGATGACAACCACCACTCCCTCCTTTAAACTTTCTATTTTCTAGTTGTTTGTTGACATGTAATTGCTCATCCCGATCCCAATAGTCCCATTCAATCTCTTTTCTGCCTTATTGATGATCAACACATCATTGTTAGCTGTTCTATAAGGCAAGTGTCAACAGAATTATTCATAACTAGTTTTGGTTTCTAGATGAGTGCTGCTTTGAACTGAAGTTAGTTCATACCTCTTGGCTTGCTGAGCTTAATCTGAATGCAGAGACATAAGGCCAACGACGATGCAGAGCTTGGAGGATGCTTGTGAGGAAGCTGATGTAAGTTATTCATCCATCCATTGTAACTTTCATTTCACCTGTTCATTCATTCATGGTATGATTTTATTTTTGTTTGCTTCAGAACTTGATGAACTTGGCCAGAAAGCGGCCAACATCAATTCAATTTCAACAGCAAAAAAACAGTCCTGGCTATTTTTCTATTCACAATCGACTTAGGCGCCTATATTATGAAGAGAGTGCCAAGAAAGATACATTACCACTGCAGGTATGGTAAATTTTTATTTTGTATTGTTTTTTTTTTTTTTCATGTGTTTCAATTGATTAATGCCACAATTTGATTGCTGCACAGGCCCTTAAATCTACATCACTTCTCCTTGAAAAGCTAGTAGCAAAGGACAAACTTAATACTCTTATTGTTAATCTGTATCCTGGTAACAAAGGTTATTCCCTTGCAATGCGGCAATCTGGTAAGTTCCTGCACACAAGCGGTAAAAGTTTTAAATTCTAAAATTCACCACATTATACTAACATTTTTTTCTGCGCTCTCTCTAGGCCACAATGACACTGTAGTTGAAACTGTAAGATGGCCATATCAAATGGACACTTTCTTAAGCTATTTGGACAATGGTGAACTACCTTTCATGCTCACTGATTTGTTAGAAGAGACCTGTCCAGAAGTATTTTATTCAGGATGTATTATTGCTGAGGTTAGAGACTATCGGCAATCATTTCCCAGCTTTTCATGCAATACTCATCATGTTTTACTGCAACCCACCACACAGGTATTGTATTTGGTTGACACTTGTACCAAATGACAATAATAATATTTCAAGGATTTTTAACACCTTTTCATTTCTTTTTCTTATTTTTTTTTAGAGTGTCATTAGTGATGTCAATTTACTAGCAGCTCAGAGTGACCTGAGTAATGAAGAAAAGCTCTTACTTGAGGCGGAGCTGGTGAGAGCTACTCAGGGCCCACTTTGTCTCGATCCTAGGCCGTCTCTCGTTCTCCTTCACAGCGCAGCTCAGCATCAAAGAAATTTATTGTCAACTGAACCATTAAGAAGATGTGCTCGTAAATTTTCTCAGGTATGTTTTATGTTGCTTTCGGTGGCCTCATTGAAATTAGAATTGTTTCTCTTTCCCGGATAATCTATGGGGGCATCTGGATGTGTTTTAAGTGTATTGTAGATGTTGTGTTACCACTCTTTCTTATTTTGCACTCTCTGAAATTAAGGTCTCTGTAAACCGGAAAAGAAAATTGGACCAGTTCACCTCCCATCCACAATTATCCATATTAGATGCAATCAACAGACACAGAGGGAAAAATACTAATAACACAACTGCTCAAGCGAGGTTACATAAAAAGGTATGCTGTTAATGAACATGTACTATGCCTGTGGGTAGATGTTAATGAAAAAACTTAATGTATTATACATGTATCTTTTTCCAATCAATGTTTCTAGCACCTTGAGAGTATTTCATTGGAAGTGCCTAAAATACCTTTAGAACTAAAGCTGCCACCTCTGTCACCCCCACCTGAAGGGGTTGATGTTACTAAATTTGCTCAAGAAGCTTCTTGGCCTATTGAAACTGCTGATTGCGCTCCTCAGCTAGTAGAAGAATACGTCCTCGAGGCAGATCGAGGGACAGGTACTTTTTAGCTTTTGCCAGAATTGACTTTAACTAGTGTTGTCGTAACAACATGAAGTACATTTTATTTCCATTGATTTCAGGTCAAACTTATCACATTAAGATCTCATTATTTCAAAGAAAATCTAATTTGGAATTTATTGGTGAATTGTATGTTGACAAAGATTTCAAGGAGGGAGAGAGAAATGGGCGCACCTGCCGGTAATTCTTGTTTTTTTTTTCTTCTGTCACATTTTTTTTTTCTACAAAGTCTTGGTTATCTTTTATAATCTTCTTCTTTGTTTTTGAAGGTTTCCATTGGGATCAAGACTACAAGCCACCCATTATATTCAGCAATTTAGTGAGATATTTACAGAGGAGGGCCGAAAATCTGTTAAAATAACTCATTTGGTTCCTGGGCGCCAGCCTCGAGTATCATGCACAGCTGGCATGAGGGAAAGAGATGCAAAAGCTCAAGCACACGCAAAGGCTCTGGCCCGCAGTACTTTAGCAGCAGTTACTAGTACAACAAATCCTCCCAATGTTAGGAGCCCCACGGTCCCTTGCAATCAAATAAATACTAGTGTAAATAACCTTGTGAACAATACTTCTGAATTAGCTTCTGTCCCTAATTCAAATCCTAGTACAAATTCAGTGAATGCTACAAGCAATGTGAACCTTGTCAATGCTTTAACATCGCCCCCAATGTCCAATAGTTTTACAAATATCTTGAACTCCACTTTGACTGGTGGATTGTCTCCAGCTGTCAACAGTCCACAAACAGTGGTTGGTACCGCTACATAGTTTCAATACCTAGTGGTGTTTTTATTGTGTTGCTCGTTTCCTTATATTGTTTTGCAGCTTTCACATGGTAACTTCTGTTTTTCAGGTTCAGGTTCAGGCCCCTATTGCGGATAATGCTCAGCCTCAACCACCTCAGGTGAAACAGGTCACTCCTCAACCGTCGTTACAGCTGCAACAACCTCATCAAACGCCACCGCAGCCTCAACAGCAAACGCAACTAAGATCTCAGTTAGAAACCCCAACAAAAGTCGGAGGCCGCACCATCACAAATCCTGCAATCAGTGCCTTAGTTACCAGCCTTATGAATTCAGCCCAACAATTCCAGCAGCAACAACAGCAGCAACAGCAGCAACAGCAACAACAGCAGCAACAGCAGCAACAGCAGCAGCAGCAGCAACAGCAACAACAGCAGCATCAACAACAGCAGCATCAACAACAGCAACTTCAACAGGCTGGTATGTTTCATAAATTTGATCTACCTTGTTATAATGTGATACTTTGCAACATGATAACTAGAAGGGTCTCTTTTCTTCCTTTCAGGTATTAAAACTCCAGTCTTGGCAAATGCAACCGGTGCAGTAAGCAATGCTAAGGCTAGCCCTAATACCCTTCTTGGTCTGCTGAATAGTACTCCTAGTGCTACGGGTCCAAAACTTCGCAAGTTTACTTTATCAAATCTCCTCAACTCTAAAGTTTTGACTCCAACCCAGACTCAGCATTTACAACAGCAGATACTACAGCAACAGCAGCAACAGCAACAAAGAATGTCACTCTCTACTCTTACTGCTCAACTAGCCTCACCACCTGCGAATGATGTCTCTGGATCGCTTCTTCAACACTCTGCCCCTGCTTCACAGCAGCGATTTTCCACTCCAAATCGAATTGGTTTGGTTCAACCTGTGACAGAGCAACCTGGACTGGCACCAGTGACGTCAATGCTACCAAGCTTTGAAGTTGAGGTTCCAAATACCTCAGGAAGTGGGACAGTAAATGTGAATGTAGCTGTTCCCCAGTTTGATGGTTTAGAGAGAGATATGAGTATTGGTACTCAAGTACCGGGTGGTAACACCATCAGTGCTCAAGCAGTACCCAACTCAACTATTTCAATGTTTGACCTGAATCCAAATAATTTTAGTGCTTCTGTGAATAATTTTAATTCAACTGGTGGTACAAACTTTAATAACAATACCACAGTGAATACACTTACATCACCAAATGCTTCAAGTACATCAAACAACAATGCAACTACTACTAGTACTACAAACTTTGATCTGCAAAGTTTTGTTGAAAGTGCTCTTGTTTCTGAGGGAACTAGCAACCTAGTGCCAAATTATGAAATTTCAGTTTCAAATGCTGGTTCTATTCCCAATTTTGAAATAAGGGTTCCTACCGCAGAAGAATCAACTAATGCAGTAACAAGTGACTTATCAAATCAAGTGGCTACCAACTTTGTTGCCAATGCAACAATTGAAACTGCAGCAGTGGAAGACTTTTTGTTAAATCAGCAAACTGGTGCTGCACCTAGTTACCAGATTTCATTCCCTGATTTGAACTCATTTGATGCTAGTAACAACACTCTAACAGTTCAAAATAATTTTGACTTTAGTAATTCTCCTAACTTTACTACTGTCCCTGTTACTGCTAAAACTGTACCTGTTCCTCCTAGCACTGCTGTTGTAAGCAGTGCAAGTCCCAGTGGTTCTAATTTGTTGGGTCGAATATTGGCAAGTAACACAGCCAGTGCAGCCATCAGGCGGCTTTCTGCAAGTGCTTCTGTCTCAAGTGCAAGTAACAGTGACAGTACATCCAACTCCCATGGAATGTCCGCCTTGTCAGCACTGTTGGCTGGTAAGTCTTTTTCTCATTCATCTATATTGCACTCTGATGTGTTTTGATTTAAATTAGAGTTTAATGAGACACTTTTGTTTCAGGAACTCCCTCGGCTGATAACCCAATGCCAGGCTCTTCAAGCTCACTTACATGTTCATCTCTACTGGAACGGCTGGCTGCCCCTTCGGCAGCAACGGCTGTTGTAGCTGGGTCGATGGGGCAGGCAGCTCCTCCGCCTCTTCAGTTCGCTGTTCCGTCTCCATCCAAGCCACCTGCAACCCCAAGTTTACCAACAAATTCCCCCATTGCTTCACCTGTTACTCCTAAGTCCCCTGCTGTGCCAGTAGCCTCACCACTCTCGAGTCCGCCTAGTCAACCTCAACTCAACAATGTGGGGCAGCAGGGATTAACTGTGTCAGGTGTTAATCTGCAAGGTCTCAACCTAGCTAGTCTTCAAGGTGCTATTGGATCAATTCCAGGACTCCAAAATGTTCAGGTTGGTATCGGATGAAAGTTGTGCCCATTATAAATGATGAGTGCTTGCAGTGCCATGGAGCTGTCCTAAGTGCATCATGCCATTCCCTACCTTAGCAAACACCATTGTTTGTTTCAAACCCCAAATTCCCTGCATTTTGTTTTTTAATTTTTTTTTAATTTTTTTTCTTTTGATACCTTTATTGGAACATTTCATAAATTGTTTGTGTTGGCTTCTGGTGTCAAAAACCAGCTTTCTCCTTGAAAATCACAATCACTAATTTTAGTGATGCTGGTTCAATGCTGCCCTAACCACTAACAGAAGAGCTTATCTCTCCCATATAAATGATAGTTAACTTGGCTCCGAATTGTAAACAACTTAACCATGTTTAAATTTCCCTTAATCCCTGCGACTGTGTAGTAATAGATCATCCATGTCATATTATCAGGTTTCTTTTCCTGGCCTTTCTACGCCAATATTGTCGTTGAGTGTTTCGAGTGCAACACCACACCTCGCCTCTGCTGCTGTGAGTGCAAGGCACTTTCCAATCCTTTGCATGTGTTGTAGTCTTTATACAGCAAACTCAGCTTGCATGTTGCTTCTGAATGGTTGTGCATGTTTCCTTAACTAAACAAGTTTTCTTCCCAAAGAATTTTTTCACTTCTCTGTTAACTAAGGTGAATTACATCCATGGTATTGGTTCATAATGGATCTATAAAGGTTGTGTATTTTTGTGGGTGATTCTTACCCCTTTTGTAGTTGAAATTAGGCAGTTGGTCTGAAAGCCATTCTCAGACATGTTTACAGTTGCTTTGGTAGTACCGGTACATGTTAGTTTATGTAATGAAAGATAAATGTACCATTCAACGGGTTATACAACAACCAAATGGGGATGGTGTTTGTTTGTTGTTTATAACTAGTGTGGGCAGTAGTTTAGACAAAGGGAAATGGAAGTCTATCCTTTCTTCTATTGAAATGGGATCTACAGCTAACAGTTGGAGTTTGAAGAATACTTTTATCAGTCTTGTATCCATTAGTTGCTAAACCTAATAAATCATAGTTTTTCATTTTTTACTTTAACACTTTATTTGGTTGTAGTCTTGAAACTAGAGACATGACATACTCTATCACAGATTCCCTTTTATCACAGTTTGAATTAATTCTATCATTTTATAATTAACTTTTACTTCAATGTTGTTTGAGTTTGCTTGTGACATGCCTTTTCTCTGTCATACTTTACATTCTATCTTTCTTTTCTTTCAGGTGGTTTCGTCTGGTGGAGTGACAGGCACTGTTTGTGATACTAATGCTGTGTCTAGTGCTCCCCACACCATGGTGCTAACAAATTCATCTCTCTCTATGCCCGTTGGTAAGTTTATAAAAACTCTACTTATTCTGATGCTGTTGGTGAAAAGATGAAAGATTTTGAATGTGACATTTGTAATGAACGAATTATTGTATTTCCTTTTTTTTTTCACCAGCTCAACTTATGACTAGCAATGTGAAAACTGTTGGTGCGCGAGGACTAGCTGCAAACTCAATTCATCTTCAGCAGGTTGGTTTTACATCAAATTTTATTATTCATGCTCTCTTTCAAGAACACTCACCAAACGCTCTGTTTCTTATTGAAGGGATCTGGTCAGGCACTTCAGCTGACGCTTCAAAGGGCCAAGCCAGCACAAGCTCTGCAACCAGGCAAGACCAATGTTCTGGCTGGCAGGCAGTTGCAGGCTACTGTCTTAAGTGGCCCTCAACGGAAGCTTCCAGTGTCGAATACAGGTGACTTCAAGGGCTTTTCTTTGTCGTTACTTGTTTCTCATGAGTATCATGTTACTCACAATCTACTTCTGTTTCAGTGACAGCTAGCATTCAAGGAGGCAATCAAGTAATATTCACACAACCACAAGTGAGTTTCAAAATGTTGCACTACCATTGCCTTTATGTGTTTCTTTTTTTTTTTTTTAATAAATATTGTTTATTTTTTTTGCAGGTGGTCACCTCTGTTGGAGCCACAGGTGCTGTATGTGACGCCACTGCTGTGTCAAGTAGTCCGCATACAATGGTCCTGACAAGTCCCACCATTTCTTTACCTGTCGGTAAGGATTCCTGCTATTTTCTGACTTCATCAGATGAACTTTGGCATTTTCTATGACATCTTTCCAATACTTATCCTATTTTTTTATAGCGCAACTTATGACAGGAGGGCTGAAAGCTGTGAGTGGACAAGGTGGTCTTCGAGGAATAACTGCCAACTCGATCCAACTTCAACAGGTTGGTCTTTTGCATATATCAAAGTCCTGTTTCTTATCATGTTTGTACAAGTGTATGACATTTTCTTCTTTTTTCAGGGATCTGGTCAGGCCATTCAACTAGTTGGAACACTGCAAAGGGGAAAGAATGTTCAAACCTTGCAAGCACAGACTGGCAAGACAAATGTACTTGCTGGAAGACAATTGCAGACTGCAGTCCTTAGTGCGCCACAACGTAAACTGCCTACATCTAATGCTGGTCAGTAACAGTTATGGCAGTGAAACTTTGATAAATTTGATTACTGTACTTCAATTTAAATGTTCCTAACATTTGTTTTGAATGAATTCTAGTGGCAACGGGAATTCAAGGAGGTGCCAGTCAAGTGATATTTTCTCAACAACAGGTTAGTTTTCAGTACTTCTGTCCTACTTCATATTGGGCAGATGACAAATTAATTAATTGTAATATATGAGAAAAGGGTTGAAAACATAAGAAGTGACATCTTTCTTTGTGTATTTCAGCTCCATTTGCTTCAGAAGCAAGGGCAGTTTCAGCAACTCCATGCATTGCCACAGCAGCCTCAGCAAGCGCAGCAACTTCAGCAGAAACCAACTGTCATAGCAGCCCAGTTAACTGCTAAACGGAGACGTTCTAGCACAGCTGATGGTTCTGCCAATAAGTAGTGGCAGCTTGATGTGTGAAGTTAACACTGTGAAACGCAATGTGCAAGTTTATGAAAAGGGAAGAGGAAGATCGCATTATTTTGCACATCAGTTCCAGATGCTTCATGCTTACCTACTACATTTTTCTAGTTACCATCATGAGACAGTCGTGTGCTGAGGATGATGCTTGTGGTTTAATTGTTTAAGTTCATTGGTTAGAGCATCAACAATAACCTGCTTGCTATGTTCTTAAGAATCTCTGAAAATGTTAGTGGTCCCATAAACCACTTTTGAAGACTGAATTTTTATCAATATTAGAATTTTATGGGATTCTGAATCATCCATATTTCTACTCTTATACATAAATCGTTTTAAATAAAATAATTTTGCAGTTACTATAGTTATATATTTGAATTTAGTGTTGTCAATTCATTTCAGTTACATATTTTATCCTCGCATTGAGTTTTAACTTTTACCCTGACATGTACAATGCACTTAAAATTTGCACAGCGTAATTGTGTTTTTACCTTCAAGTACGTATCCATCTCAAATACAAGTTTTTTTTTTTTAACAGAAATTCTTCATGGTAATTTAGGTTGTTAACACTCCTAACTGTGTTTTATGGATGGTGGGTGCATAAGTTGATAGTAATGTTTTAATTTCAAATCTACTTGCTCAACAGAAGGAGAAACATGTAGTGTGTGAAAAGAAACTATTGTAAATAATTGAATACACAACTGCTGGAAATACACAGTGGAACTCTGGCATTGTTTTCCTGATAGGTCTTCTTGTTATTTTTATTTATTGTGCTTAAAGTAAGTTGTTGTAAACTTTCTAGTCTAGATTTCTACTGTGTATTATTGTTGGAAGTGTCTACAAATTAATTCAAGTCCCAAACAAATCAAGTTTGTTTTGTTTGTATCTATGTACGATGATTTTGATCAATCTTTTAGCTGTACTGTTCGTGACTTGGTTACATTACAACATAATCAAGCTCTTCTTGTTTTTTCTTTCTTCCGTCTGGATTTGTCTGTCAATGTAAATTTCAGTCCTCTTTTACTGTGAATGAAATTTGTTTATTTTCACCTTAAGTAGTAATTCCTGAACTGTTTTATATTTTAAAACTGTGATAGACATAGCGAAAAGTGAAAAAAAAAAATATAAATAGATAAATATATTATATGTAAAAACAAAACATGTTAGCTTCTTACTTTTAAGGTAAGCCTCGAGATTAAGGTGCAGGTCAGGATCCTCTGAGTGTCAACACTTGTGTGAACACTGTTTATGTATTTTGATGAAAAAGATTAATAGCTTTGGCTTGTTGTGCTCTTGTATGTGTGCTTTAGTAGTCTTGTGAGGAAATTATATATTTTGACTCTTCTTTGCCTCTTCACAAGATTGTCCTAACTGTCGTAGTCATATTATAATCTTGACTGTGTAGAGTTCAGTGGGAAAAGTCAGTATGTCTTCAAACTTCTTACTCATCATGACAGTAAAAATATCACAGTGGTCATTTATTATTTTCTTAAAGTCACTGGTATTCATGTGATAATGATTGAATACTGTGATGAGAAATGTAGAAAAGACTAGGGTTACAATGTGATTCATATGAAGCATTACATAAGTTGTTTTTACCTGATAATGAAAGCATAATTTCACCACGAATACCTTTAATGTTGCAAGTTGATTGTATGTACATTTTTTGTTAACTGTTTTTAAGTTATTTTGTGGAATTCATTCATCACTATTAGGTTGTGCGAAGTGAAATATTTCCATGTATGATATAACAGTTTTGTACATATTGTCGTGTAGCTACGTTTCATAAATGAGTGTTCTGTTTTCTTTATTTATGGTCTCTTGTTATCATCATTTTTGTAAGGTTTTGCCCATTTTATTTTATTGTCCATTCTGTGTAAATTTTTAAATGGAGGACAGTTTACATTTTGTTGTTGAACGTAAGATAAGGCATATCCATGCATTGCAATTAAGTGGATGATTCTTGATCCAAATTAGTCTGGGACATAAACATTTTGCTTCCCTCACAAGATTTGACGAGTTGTCAGACAAGTTTGTCGAGTTTGTTCCAAAACTGAAAATGTTCAGACAAACTTTATCTTGCCATTTTGCATTATTATGCATTATAAAATTTCAAATAATGGCACATGAATTTGTGCCTATGGAGCACTATGGCCACTGTGTCTGACTTTGAACTTGTCGTTAACCATTACTCTGAACCATATTGATTGAGTATTTATAGTTAGTTTCTGTTCTATGGACCAGGCTTATCAGGTGAGGCATTGTGTATGAATCATAATGCTTGTGTCTCAAGCCAAACTGTGTGACTAAATCTAGTTTTTAAAGCTATTTCTTTACTAAAATATAGTTGATAAACCTCATTTAAAAGACAGATGGTTACTGAAATGTAGGTGTACATAAAAAGGGAAGAAAATCATTGAAGGAATCTGTGCTGTGTCTGTATAGAAGCGTGGAGTTATTATTAAAATTAATTCAGATGTAAATTGTTATTTTGTAAATATCATGTCTGTGTCTGATTTGTAATTAATTTATGAAGTTTTACATCAAGTGATACTCAGTACTTGAGCATGACCGTGAATGTTTGTTTTTGTCAGTGATTTCTTGACAGAATTCAAATAAAATCTCTATAACGGTTGCACGTTGATGATGTTTGTTCATTCCCTCTCCCAAGGATGGCGACCCTAGGCGCCTGTCAACTCCAGGGTAGGCAACCCGCTATTCACGGAAGTCCAACAGGACTGCCTACCCGCCGAACCATTACCATTAAGGGCTACACAACACATGATCGTATTGCCAGGTCAGGGAGGTCTGCGCAAAAAGTTCGCGCGTCTTATGACTGCCTCCGTAGCCGAGGCCGGAACTCAGGGCGCGGCCGCGTGGCGCTGAATTCGCGCGTGCTGGCCTCGACGTTCGGCGGGGCGGGTCGGGGCGCGCTCCGGGCGATGCGAGGCAGAGCCAGAGGTCACAGCACGCGGCTACACGCGGCCACCAAGCCCATCATGGCACTGTCATGGCTCTGGCTCGGCTCAGTCCTGCCGCGGAGCGCGCCCCGATCGCCTCGCCAACGGTGTGACGGCGGAGAGCACGACGGCCACCTCAAAAGTAAGCAGCGCTGCGTGATGCCGTCAGCGTGCAGCACTGAACTGCAGCGAGCGCACCTTGTTGCCTACAGTGCCACGGCTGCCGCCCGCCGCCCTCGTCGTCCTGGTCGTCGAGGCCCTGCTCGTGGCCTCGGCCCTCGGCGACGACGACCTCCAGCTTCTCCAGGACCGCGACGGCGACGCGCGCGACGACAACGTGACCACCTGGCTGCCCAGAGACCTGCAGCCGCTGCACTACAGGTCAGCGCCATCTGCCGCACGGTGGGCCAGAGGACCGGCGGAGGCGGCCAAAACTCCAGACGCGTTTCGAGCTCCAGAGTCGCTAAATGGGGCTCGAACCGGGCGGATTGCTCTCCGAACGAGGAATCCATTGGTGGGGTCACGCGTTCGGTTCGAGTCCCATTTAGCGACTCTGGAGCTCAAAACCCGTCTAGAGTTTTGGCCGCCTCCGCCGGTCTTCTGGCCCACTGTGCGCCCTGCAGTGTCTAGCGCAGCCGATCAGGGCGCCGTGCCGCCGTGCTAGCGACACGCGTCACGGGGAATGTTCGGAGCGTAACGCGGCGTAACGGGACACGCAGAGATAGCCGAGCAGGCCGTGATCCAGGCACGCGCTGGGGCTATCGGCTGTGGCGGGGCGGGGCGGGGCGGGGCGGGGCGGGGCGTTCCCCGAGGAGGATAAGGCCTGCCAGCCAGCTCCGCCCTCGCCACCTGGTGCCGAATGCCGAATTTAAGGCGTACTTTTGGTTCCGACACCTCGGGTTGCTTTGGCGCAGAAAGCGGCCCCGTGGGACAAAGGTGACAGGGCCGGCTAGTTCGGCTAGTCCGGGGAAAGGCGTTGCAGGTCGTTGACTTGCCTCCGCGACGCGAGCCTGAGACAGCCTGAGGCCTTTGCCAACTCCCCGAATTGCGACATGTCGCTCCTGCCGCGCCACGCCGAACACTGCTCTGTCTCTCTCGCACTCATGGGGCGCTCGGTTCTCCGTGTAGGTGTGAGAGAGACAGCGACGCGCTGAGCCAACTGCTCAGGATGCGGCAGGTCGCGACAACACGACAGCAGCAGGGAGGTGAACGCTTTCAGGACGCTTTTGTAAACAAAAGGACAAAAATGTATGAATTCGTTGGTATTTTCAATTTAAAAAAATTTGCAAGAAATATTCAAAAGCTTTGGCCCTTTTTCGGATTATGTTTGACGCACATCGGACAGCCCCGCAATGTTATGCAAAGGCTGGAGCCCCCGGAGGTCGCCTGTCTCTGTCTGCCCCTCGCCGCCTGCATAACTGACTACCAAATTTGGCGCCAAATTCGGCTCCCTATCGGACAGCCTAGCCAGGCACAGTGGGCCAGAAGACCGGTGGAGGCCGCCGAAACGCTAGACGCGTTTTGAGCTCCAGAATCATTAAACAGGACTCGAACCGAGCGTATCACCCCACCAATGGATTCCTCGTTCGGAGAGCAATCCAATGGTCACACGTTCGGTTCGAGTGCCATTTAGCGACTCTGGAGCTCAAAACCCGTCCGGGATTTTGACCGCCTCCGTCGGTTTTCTGGCCCACTGTGCCAGGGCGTGACGGTCCCCTTCCTTTCCGCAGGGTGGCCATCCAGCCCGTGCTGCAGGAGGGCAACTTCACGGCCCCGGGCGAGCTGGAGTTCACGTTCCGGGCGCGCGCCGCCACGGACAGGGTCGTCATCAACGTGCGGGACCTCGCCGTCGACGAGGCCTCCGTCGCGGTGGAGGAGGTAGGGGTGTTGCCAAACATCCCCAGGACGCAGCAGCGTCGAAAGGGTTGCCAACCTCAGCCTGCCTGCCGGGCACTGACCAGGATGTTGCACAGTGGGCCGGAAGACCGGCGTAGGCGGCCGAAACCCTCTAGACGCGTTTTGAGCTCCAGATAGTCGCTACACAGGACTCGAACCGAGCGTGTGACCCCACCAATGGATTCCTCGTTCGGAGCGCAATCGATTGGTGAGGTCACACGTTCGGTTCGAGGCCTATTTAGCGACTCTGGAGCTCAAAACGCGTCTAGGGTTTTGGCCGCCTGCGTCCACTGTGAGTTGGCCGCTTGGCAGGCTGGGGTTGGCAACCCAGGTGCGTTGGCTGACCCTCCTAAACCTCACCGCCTTGAGTGCAGCAGGAGGGCCCCTCCGGGACGTGGAGGTCGGTGGGCGTGCTGCGGCACGAGTACAACGCCTCCATGGAGACCTACGCGGCCGTGCTGCAGGCCGCGCTCAGGCCCGGCCGCGCCACCAAGTACCGCCTCAAGATGAAGTACGTGGGCGGCGTCAGGGACGACCTCAAGGGGCTGTACGCCCTCACGTACCCGGGCGAGAACAACGCCAAACGGTGAGCGAGGTAACGACAGTCGCTCTGTCTCTCTCGCACCCGCGCGACGCCCCGCAGAGGCCGTAGGGGTGCGAGAGAGAAAGCATGCTGCGCTATCGCTGTCGGCGTTTTCCGCCCATTAGACGGCCAGCACGGCCAGCAGGCTGCAGCAGTGGATTTGCCAGAAGACCGGTGGAGGCGGACAAAACTCTAGACGCGTGCAGAGCTCCAGAGTCGCTCAATGGGGCTCGAACCGAACGCGTGACCCCACCAATGGATTGCTCTCCGAACGAGGAATCCATTTGTGGGGTCACACGTTCGGTTCGAGTCCTATTAAGCGACTCTGGAGCTCAAAGCGCGTCCTGGGGTTTTGGCCGCCTCCACCGGTCTTCTGGCCCACTGTGCAGCGTCCGGCGACGGTCCCTCAATGTAAAAACATGTGGGGGTTGTTCTTGTTTCCGAAATGAATCCGGTAGGTACATGGCGCTGACGCAGCTGCACCCCACCAACGCGCGCACCATGTTCCCGTGCCTGGACGAGCCGCAGCACAAGGCGCGCTTCACGCTGGCGGTGGCGCGCCGCCCGGAGCACACCGTGGTGGCCAACATGCCGCTGCGCGCCTCGGAGCCGCGCGCCGACGGCTGGGTGTGGGACCACTTCCACACGTCGGTGCCCATGTCCACGTACCTCATCGCGCTCGCCGTCTTCGACTTCAAGTTCCTGCAGTTGACGGGCGAGCGCGTGACGCAGCACGACCGCGTGCCCGTGGCGGACGCCGTGACGCGCGACGTGTCCGTGGCGTTCCGCAACGCGTCACGTGACTCGTCACGTGACGTCACCACCCGCGTGTGGGCGCGGCCGGGGCTGCTGCACCGCGGGGAGTACGCCGCCCGCATCGGCCCGCGCGTGCTGCGCTTCTTCTCCGACATGTTCAACATCTCGTTCCCGCTGCCCAAGCAGGACTTGGTGGCCGCGCCCAAGCTCATGTTCAGCGCCATGGAGAACTGGGGCCTCATCACTTTCAGGTGCGCAGGCTGCAGGAGGCATGAGGGAGGCGCCCGTCCCCTATAGACGCGTTTGGAGCTCCAGAGTCGCTAAATGGGACTCGAACCGAACGTGTGACCCCACCAATGGATTCCTCGTTCGAAGAGCAATCCATTGGGGCACACGTTCGGTTCGAGTCCCATTTAGCGACTCTGGAGCTCCAAACGCATCCGGGATTCTGCCCGCCCCCACCGATCTTCTGGCCCACTGTGCTTGAGGGAGCTTGTGGTGCCGCAGGGAGGACTCTCTGCTGGTGGACGAGGCCAACACGGGCAGCAGGCACTTGGTCGCCACCACGGTGGCGCACGAGCTGGCCCACCAGTGGTTCGGCAACCTGGTCACCATGACCTGGTGGAACGACGTGTGGCTCAACGAGGGCTTTGCCACCTTCATGAGCCAGCTGGGCGTGAGCCACGTGGAGCCGGGCTGGCGCAGCGAGGGCGTCTTCGTGCTCGAGAACATGCAGGGCGTAATGCAGGACGACGCGCTGCCCTCCTCGCACGCCGTGTCCAGGGAGGTGTACCGCGTCGGCGACATCGACAACATCTTCGACGCCATCTCCTACAAGAAAGGCAAGTCTACCTCGGCGAAAAAAAAACAAGTAGCTAAAACCACGAAGTGGTTCGTATAGCTGCTTGATTCCGCCGTCCAGGCTCGTCGCTGGTGCGCATGATGAGCGCGTTCCTGGGCGCGGACGCCTTCCAGCGCGGCCTCAACGCGTACCTGCGGCGGCACGCCTACGCCAACGCGGCCCAGGACGACCTCTGGGCGGCGCTCACGGAGGCGGCCAGGACGGCGAGGCGGCCGGGCGGCGCGCGCCTGCCGCCGGGCCAGTCCGTCAAGAGCATCATGGACTCGTGGACGCTGCGCACCGGCTTCCCCGTCGTCGACGTGGTGCGCGACTACTGCCGCGGCACGGCCAACGTCACGCAGCGCCGCTTCCTCGTCGCCACGGCCAGCTCCGTCACCACCGCCACCAGCACCACCACCGCGACGACGGGTCAGTGGAGCACGCGCCGCGCCGCGCTTGGCCGAAAGTAGATCAAACATTCGGAGGCTGTGCCGTGTCTGTCTGGCTCGCACCCCTACGGGACGCCCCATGAGTGCGAGCGAGACAGAGGCGCGAAGCAGGACGAGGCTCCACGGCCCTGGAGGATGATGGCCTTTCTGGTCCCCTGGTTCCAGGCTCGCCGTCGGCCCAGGACGCAGACGCAGAGGACTGCTGCTGGGGAGTTCCCCTCTGGCTGAAGACTCCGCGCAATCTGTTCCGCCCCTCCAAACCCACGGTACATACAGTGCAGTTTAAAAATTGACGCTCTCAAAAAGCGGACGCCAGTGTTTGAACCCAGGCCGTGCCGCAGGAGACGCTGCAGTGGCTGCAGACCCGCGGCGCGGAGGTGGCCGGGCTCCCCGGCAGCGCGCAGTGGGTGCTGGCCAACGGGGCGCGCGCCGGCTTCTACCGCGTCAACTACGACGCGGCCAACTGGCGGCTGCTGACGGAGGGCCTGGACGACCTGAGTGACCTGGAGCGCGCCGGCCTGGTGGACGACGCCCTGGCCCTGGCCGACGCCGGCCTGCTCGCCTATGAGGTGCCGCTGGGGCTGCTGCAGCGGCTGCCGCGCACCGAGCCCTCCCTGGCCTGGGTGGCGGCGCTCTCGTGGCTCGCCAAGATCTCCCACCTGTTGCACGGCACGCACGGCGCCAACGGCGCGCAAGGTGGGCCTCGTCAATACCCCACGCGCTGGCGGATTTTACGGAGATACCCCGCGCCACAGAGACTGAGCCAAAGGGGATAGGCGAGCCGCCCCCGTGCAGCCACAAAGTCTCTGTCACGCGGGGTAGCGGCCTTCGCGCCGAGAGTGGCTGGGCCCTGCGCATGGGGTATAGACAATGCGCCAACAGACTGCCCCACAGTCTCCCGCGCGCGGGGTATCGCCGTGCCTCATGAGGGAATGCCCGACAGGTTCGTCGTCGGCGTTCTCGCGCTGGGCGCGCGGCGTGGCGGCCGACCTGCTGCGCGTCAGCTCGAGCGCGGCCGTGCGCGCGTCCACGGACCCCGTGGACCACGCCTTCGTGACGCGCGTGCGCCGCTGGGCGTGCGGCCTGGGCGTGCCGGAGTGCCTGGGCCAGCACGCCCCGCACGCCCCCGCGGCCAGGCTCGTGTAAGTGCTGCTCGAGGCTGAGGTTGGCAACCCACAGTGGGCCAGAAGACCGGTGGAGCAATCCATTGGTGGGGTCACACGTTAGGTTCGAGTCCCATTTAGCGACTCTAGAGCTCAAAACGCGTCTAGAGTTTTGGCCGCCTCCACCGGTCTTCTGGCCAACTGTGCAACCCTTTCGACCCCGGTGCATCATGGGAATTTTTGACTGTCTTGAACAGCTTCAACGAGACCGACATTTGCGAGGGCAGCACTAGAACCCCAGAGGAATGGAGCAGTCTGCTGACCAAGGTCAGCAAAGAAGATTCGAACTTGTACCTCAAGTTGGCGGAATGCATTCAGAGTAGTTCAGCGGCGAGGAGGTACAGTGCAATCCAAAACTTTAGAATTTGCCATCTTGACTGATCTTCACGAGCTGAAATTTGCCCTGTCCATGCAACAGGATGATGGAGATGACATTTATGGAAGACGAGAATGATCAAATGGTTTCGGATTTACTCGTGAGGTTGTCAGCCAACCCACACTCCTATGACACTCTGATGCAATTTTTGACTGAAAATTTGACTCCCCTTCTTGACAGGTTTGTACAAGTGCAAACCTTGCAAAATTGGCATCTTCGCAAACCAATTGTGTATGACAAAGACATTTTTTTTGTAGGCACGGAAATGGACTTAGCTATGACTTTGTAAAGAGCACAGCGCCGTTTGTGAAAAATGATGATCATCAGAACAAGGTAAGCCTTTTTCTGTATGTAGTAATGGAAAATTATTGTTGTTGTTCCACGTACTTTCATTCTAAAGCAAATTTTTACTTTTTTTAGATGAAAAAAATATTTTTGAAATCAAATCTAAACGATCTATCTCACAGAGCAGAGCAGGGTGCGCACAATATTTGGTGGATTGAGAATCAAGCTGAGCATGTTCTAAAAGCTGTGCAAGTATTTGTCCAATAAAAAGACGAAAAAAGATGTGTCTTCTAGCTTCAATCCATTGATTTTTTTTCTGTCACGACATCGTAAAGAGATAATTCAAAAGGGAAAAGAAGGACTCAAGGGTTTGAAAACATGGACACTTTATTGTGCCGATAAAATCACAAACATCGAAAATGCAGAGCAATAATAGTCTCAGAAGTCAAAGCAGACCTATCAAAATGGGACTAGATCGATGTTTCTCCGACGGCCTATCTTCAGTCTTGGGGACCTTAAGGGTGGAATAAGTGGAATAAGAAGTCTATGGGGTGGGCGGGGGCTGCTAGGGGACGTACGCGTTTTCGGCGCGTCGCTGGAGCGGCTCGCGGGCCCCGGAGAGGTAGACGAGGCCGCGCTGCTTGGCGTGGTGGCCGTGGTGGCGGTGCAACACGTAGTTGGCGACGGGGGGGAAGAACGCCGTACAGAGCGCCCAGGAGCAGCCCTTGAGCCGCCAGATGGCGTGCAGGTTGAGCAACACCGTCAGGGCGTACCGCGCCAGCCACAGCACGACCAGCACCGCCAGCAGGGAGTCCTCGGTGTGGCCCAGCGGGCCCAGGTCCAACAGCGTTGGCGTCAGTCTACGGCTCTCGGCCCTCTCGGCCTGGGCTTGCTGGCCTCTGTCTTTGTCGCGCACCCTGGCGACCCTGGCCCTCTCGGTCGTCGTGGGGAAGTCCGTCGTCGTGGGGAAGTCCGTCGTCCTGGACACTGGCGTGGTCGCGGCGTCGTCGGCCCGCTTGGCGCGGAGCAGCGGCGCCGTCATGAAGGCCACGAAGTCGGACTGCTCGTCGGTGGAGATCGTCTCGCCGGTCATCCCGGCGAGCTGCGGGCGCGCCGCTACCGCCAGGTTCAACTTGTTCATCCTTCTTCCCTCTAGCAGGACGTACGGATTGAAGGATGTCCAATAGGGCCCCATTTTGAAGAGGGGCGCCAGGCTGCGGCGGCAGGGGATCTTCTCGGCGTGCGGCACCAGGATCCTGGAGGAGGGGTCCGCGAAGCAGGGGCGTCCGTCGTTGTCGTAGACCGGCACGGCGTCGTAGCAGTCTTCAACCTGCCAGCGAAGCTGGACCTGCACCGGGGTGCACTGGGCGACGTAGAGCACGTCGCCGATGACGCGGCCCAGCACGCCGGGCACTTCGAGCAGCTGGGACGTCAGTTCGGGGAACGCCCGGAGGAGGCGAAGCTTCTGCGAGAGCAGCTGGCTGTTGGACTCATCGCGCAACTCTTCGCGCAGGCGTCTGAACTTGTCAACCAGATAGTCCAGCTGAAATGAATAAAAATACGAAATTGATTTCCATCAGAAAGTTTATATTGAATATTAATCTAAACACACACAGACACAGAGACAAACGCACACAAAGACACGCACACACAACTGAATTTTCCGGGAAATTAAAAAAAAACCTACCGCTAATGTCAATTCAGCTGCTGACGTTATGACGGGGGGCGGGAACAGGATGTCATCGCCGTACCCCATGTAGTGGTCGGTCAGCGAGATGCGGGTGAAGGTGGTCAGGTTGCTGCAGTCGAAGGCGTCCCACATGTTGGACAGCATCAGCGCGGCCCCCGGCACGACGACGGTGGCCATGGCGGCGCGAGGAGGACGACGAGGACGGAGCTGTTGCCCATGGCGGCGGCGGCGGCGGACTGACGGCGCACTCTGGACACCACCCCGTCGTCGCGTCGGGTTACCTTGCTCGTGTTTCGGTGTTCCGGGCGTCGACCCCGGCGTCGGCCTCGGCCTCGGCGTGGCGCTGAGCAGTGCTGAGCTTGCAAGGCCTTGGACCTCGGACTCGGTGGCCGATCGGACGCCCTCCAGTGGGGGCCGCGGGGGCTCGACGCGTACCTGGCGGAGCTGACGGCGGAGGGGGGAGGGGGAGAGGGGGTGAACGCAACGGGGGGGGGGGGGAATTGCTCGAGGCGTTCTCAGCCCGACGACGTGCGATGACGTACTGCGAGAGCGCCAACCCCACCCTAAGCTGGTGCAAACTGGAAATTTTTTGCCTCCTCGTTTCGCCAAACTGCCCTGCTCGCGTAAGGTGGTACTCGCAGGTCCACGAGACAGCTGGGTCCAGAACGAAGGACTTCCCCCGCGCACCGTTGTTCCCGCAACCCGCCAGAACTGACCCCGCAGTCCCGCACGCCGACTGATTCAAACTTTGTTTATCTAGGGAAGACTCGTCGTGCCAACATTCAGTGACTCAACACTCGGTGCATCAACTTACGAGAGAGCTCCTTCCACACAAAAGTTCGCTTCTTTCGTACTCAGTAGTACAAATTAACTTTGTTCAGACAACTCTCGTGCAAATGTACCAGTATGAATGCGATGAAACCCAACACAAAGCAAAGTTTTGAGGTTGGTGCGGCTGTAACCTATTTCCGGAAGTCTTTTGTCTGCTGCGTCGTCTGTCGTCTGCCGCCTTCGCTTCACTGCAGAGAGACTGCGACTGCGGTTGCCTTGATCGTCCTGCGAGCTTGCATGGGTAATGAATGTTGTGATTCATTGGGAATGTAACTGCCTGTCATTGCCGGAGGCCCATTTCTTCGTCTTATTCCAGGTGCTGCGTTTGATGTCAGTCGTTGTAGTTGCCTCGCCGCCCAGTAGCCTACCGACTTTTCCTTGTTTATTTACTTCCTGTCATCCCTGCATGTCATAGACTAACGTTTAAAGCTCGCGTGGAAAGTACTTATGCTTGGTTAGGGCGGACCTGCATGGCGATTAGGCCTCGTCTCGGCCGTGTTGTTTTCTCTGTGTGTCCAGACTGACATGTAGACTTGGTTCTGATTCAGTTTCTAACCCTATGCCTTAGAAGCAGCTGCTGTTGCATTTGGTTGTGTCACCGTGTCATTGTGAACCTACTCTATCACAACTGTTAGGTTCTAATCTTGTACGTAGTGTACCCAGAAGCAAGCATATATTTTTGATTTAAGTCGATCTGCTGATGATCACTACTTCAGATTTAGGAAGTTGAAATTTGCTGAGCAGGTCACTAAATATTCCATTACCTCACCACACATCAAACTCCAACTACCAAATTCTTTCAAGTTGCTAAGTTGATGCGTTTTATTTTGATTGTTTGTTTTCTAGGTTGATAAAGTGTCATCATGGGAGCCACTTATGGAAAGACTGATAAGCCCGAACCAGAAATGCCAAATGTTTTAGAACTTTACCCCAACAATGGACTAGTGTTTAATGACTGGTTCTTGCCCCCAGAGGTAGTTTCTCACATTCTGACATTTTTCGAGCCAACCTTGACAGCCAGACGTGTCTGTAGGGCTTGGCGTGATATGGTTGACACTGTTGTCATTCGTGAAAAGGTACTCATTTTTACAATCATGCAGTACAGTATGTTGCAGCAAATGTTATTTACAATCATGAATTTTCTTTACAGATCTGTAGGGAAGTTCCAGGGGCAAATATACTCCTGTTTCAACATGAAAATCTAGAGTGGCAGGACTTTTATTTGTTCTGGAGCAGGAAACCTTACATGAAGAACAAGAACCTGCTAAAAAATGGTTCAGCCGAAGGTAAAATAAAATTTTTGTTCCGCAGATCTTTTTTGAATTGAAAGTTTGAAATAATTTTGAACTAACTGTAGTTTCTTTATCTTTCAGAACAACTACAGCACTGGAGTGTGAGGTCATCAAGATACGGTGGAAATGGGACTAAATGGATTGTAGAAAGTGAACCAGTGGGCTGCGACCCTTTCCCTGCAGGAGCTCGGAAGTGTTTCGCCACATCCTTTGATTGGTGTTCTGCAGAACAGTTAATAAACTTGTGTGAGTTTGGACTAAGTATTCCATTTATGAAAAATGTTCGACCAAACATTCATATTGAGGAATGGTAAGCTGTGGTGTTTTTTCATTTTCTTTTGTCGGGCTCTTGTATTTTTGGATGGTGATGACTAATATGACTTAATATACACCTAGGTATGCCGGGAGGTTCGACTGTGGATCTATTTACAGTTTAAAAGTATCACTACTGAATTCTAGCTTAGAAATTATTGATTCATTTGCTTTTGAAACCACTAATCACGGCTCTGAATGGTCAAAGGTGAGTTGTTACTTTCACCACGTGCTTTACCAATGAAGAAGGAGCGAATGATTTGCCTGATTTGCACACTGCAACGCAATGTCTCTGTCTCTGTTGCAGGTGGAGCACGTTTTCAGCGATTATCAGGGGAGTGTGGCATGCATATTGTTCCATCACAAAGGAAAGGACACACAATTTTGGGCCGGTCATTATGGAAGCAAGATGACTGGTGGCAAGGTTTACATTTCTCTGCCAAATAGGCTGCCCAACAACACCAACAGATAAATCACAGAATTTTTGCAATTGTTTTTCTCAAAATTTATTAAGTGGAAAGACCTGAGTATTTAAAGTAAGAAGTTTATACAGCATTAGAGGAAGATTCTAAGCACTTGGGATTTTTTTTGTTGTTAATTTTTTTTTGTTTACTGTACACTATTTTATTTTACAAATGCTGTTTTTGAATACTTTTTTAAAACAATCATCTTATAAATTAAGTTTGCAAACTGTGATGTAAGTAGAATTGACGCTAATATTCAAATCAATAAAAAAAGTAACAATTTAATTGAAAACATTCAAGGTGTGTTTTATTTATTAAGTTATGTTAATTTTATCAGAGACCTTACTCTGAATGTGTTAAATATTGACACTGTGGAACGTTGAGTCTTATTTATAGAAATAAACTGTTACACTTTTTCCATTTGTCCAAAACCGTATGTTGTCTTCTATGAAAGTAGTGCTTCTCATCTCTTTAGTAACTTTTGTCACTTGTTACACACCTGTTAACTTATTCTCAATTTTGTAATAAATGATTATAATAATCGAATCTTTGTCCGTTTTCAATCCTGAACAAATATTGCCTTTCATACATCAAAAGTTGCCATTCATACAGAATAAGACCACCTGCCAACTGATGAAACAGTGAGGAAGCTCCAGTGAATCTTTGGCTGTCGCAAGGCCCCACCCCGACCACGAAGGTACAAACCAGTCCCCGCACTACTTTGCGTCTCGCAACAAGTTTGAGAGTTTCATTTCCAGCATTCCTGACGATGGATGGGAAACAAAGCTGCTCTTCATGAGAACACTCGAACTAGCAGAGGCAAGTGCCCCCCCCTCCCCCTCTTTCCCCGTTCCCCAGGCATCTCGTTCGCCCTTTGTGCTCAGCTTTTAGCTCGTGGGTGGCAAGAGTTGGTCGGGCAGTCACACTGCAGACTGATTCCGGGAGTCGCGTTTTCGTCGCTCTGTCTCCCTCGCACTCGTGGGACATCCCTTGAGGGCGCGAGAGAGACAGAGCGACGGAACGAGTCTGCTGCTCGGCTCAATCTCTCCTCCTCCTTCCTCCTGATGCCCGCTCTGGGCTTCGGCGCTTTGGGGAGGCGTTGGGGCCTGGGCCGCAACCTCTCGAGGCCAAAGCCTTGCCTAGCGGGCAAGCTGAGGTTGGCACCCCTTTCGATACTGGCGCGTAATGAGAATTTTCCGGAATTTTCGCACTATTTGCGTGGCAACACTGGCAGCTCGTCAGGTGGGCGCACAGGTGGGCCGCCCTCTGCCAATATTTAAAATCACAAAATCCTTCCATCTCTCTCCTTCCCCCCGTCCGTGCCGCAGCGCGCAGCGCAGTGCTGCTCTAATTAATTAGCAGACGTGCCCATTAATAGGCTGGCTGCCTCGTTGTGCCTGCCTGGCTTGCGGCGCACAGTGGGCCAGAAGGCCGGTGGAGGCGGCCAAAACTCTAGACGCGTTTTGAGCTCCAGAGTCGCTAAATGGGACTCGAACCGAACGTGTGACCCCACCAATATATTGCTCTCCGAACGAGGAATCCATTGGTGGGGTCACACGCTCGGCTCGAGTCCCATTTAGCGACTCTGGAGCTCAAAACGCGGCTTGACTGTTGGCCGCCTCCACCGGCCTTCTGGCCCACTGTGCGGCGCCGCTTTGGCTGCTTTGCCCGTTCTTATCCCGAGACTCTCCAGCCAGCCGGGCCCGGCCAAACAAAGGCGTCCCTCTCGTCTGCCGCCCGCGACCGTCGGGGCGACCGTCGGGGCGTCGGGGACCGTCAGCAAGCCGTCAGCAAGCGGCCGATGTAAACTCCGCACGGAAACAAAAAGACGAAGAAAGTGTTTGTCGTAAGGGTTGGCGTTCTCGGCCGGATACGTGGGTTCATGGGACCGCGCGGTTGATCCAGGGCGAGCAAGGCGGAGCGCGGAGCAAGGCCTTCGGAAGCCTCCAGCACACTGAGAGTCGCGCTGTCTCCCTCATGGGGCGTTCCGTAAGGGTGCGAGAGAGACAGCGACGGAACCGACTCTCGGATTCAGTCTCCTGCTTGGAATTCACGGGCAGGCTCAGGAAAGCTCAGGCAGGCTCGGTCGGGGGAGGGGAATCAATGAGGGAGGCACCGCCTTTTGCGGACGCCTTCTTAGGCGCGGGCCCCGAGCCCTCCGCCGCCGCACAGTGGGCCAGCAGACCGGCGCACGCGGCCTACTTACTGCACTTGGCCAGCTTCAAAACAATCGCCTCCGCTTGGGCGCCACAACTAGCGCCGCCTTGATGAGACCGCCGTCACCAAATTTCGGAGCAAAAAGTTTACAGCAAACCCAAAAACTCAAAGACGAATCTCAACGTTTGCAGTGCAGCAGCACGGAGGGAGATTCACTCAGGTGCAAGGAGGCCACCCCACCCCACCTCACCTCACCTCACCTCACCTCAGTCAGCAGAGTTTCCGAGAGCTGGCCATTACAGCACTCAAGACTACGCGGTGTGTGTGTGTGTGTGTGTGTGTGTGTGTGTGTGCGCGCGCGTCTTTGACGACGACTCGCTATACAGAGCCGGGAAGCCGGGCGTCGAGTACCGTGCTGTGGGCTCTGGATCACTGCAATAGCCGACTTGTTTGCTGAGGGAACAGTGTGCTGGATGCATCTCCGGGTAATGGATCTGTAATACCCATGTAGCATGTGAGGGTAAGTGGATGGTGGTAGAACCACCACTATCAAAACTTCAAATTCAAACTTTTTCACGTTGTTGGGACACAAAGAAAAACCGTATCGCTTGTGTTTTTGAGGTTTTTCATGGATTGGGCGGGACTCAAGAACCAGGTCCCTGGATTCGGACTGGACTGGACGGGCCAGAACAAAAGCGTGGCGTAGCGTGGCGTGGGGGTGCGGGGGCGTGCGAACCCCGTTCGGGACGGGGCCACACGGGCCTCGTCGGAGGGAGAGGGGGGGGGGGGGAGCGCCCGCCCGCCCACACTCGCTCGTAATCGCTCTCGAGGGCCAACAGGAAGACAAGGCAGCACTTGCACGGCCGAGGAGCGCCAAACGCTGCGAGCAGAAATAGGCAAACGTCCCCACGATGCACCAGCAGCGTCGAAAGGGTTGCACAGTGGGCCAGAAGACCGGTGGAGGCGGCCAAAACTCTAGACGCGTTTTGAGCTCCAGAGTCGCTAGACAGGACTCGAACCGAACGTGTGACCCCACCAATAGATTCCTCGTTCGGAGAGAAATCCATTGGTGGGCCGCCTCCACCGGTCTTCTAACCCACTGTGGAGACGAAAGCTGACGAGCACCCGCACTGTAAGGCACTGCATACGGGCCGCGCGTGGAAGAGCGGCGCAGAACGGCGCAGCAATGCATAATAAGTGAGTCATGAATTTTGCCGCGGTCCTGCCTTGGCCATGCGCGGCACATTTACATAGAGGCATCGCTCTCGGCTGGAGCTGGAGGCGGCTGGAAGCCCAGGCCGGGCCCGCATGCTGGAGGCCGTGGAGGCACACTAGTTTTTTTTTTTTTTTCAAGAACAAAATCATACTCACTTTTTCTGCGGACATCTAATTTTTTTGCCTTCTTCTCCTGCAACACTGCCGGCGGCCGGGCCACAGTGGGTTTGCCAGAAGACCGGTGGAGGCGGCCGAAACTCTAGACGCGGTTTTCGCTGGGACTCGAACCGAACGTGTGACCCCACCAATGGATTGCTCTCCGAACGAGGAATCCATTGGTGGGGTCACAGGTTCGGTTCGAGTCCTGTTTGACGACTCCGGAAAAGATGCGTCTAGAGTTTTGGCCGCCTCCACCGGTCTTCTGGCCCACTGTGCGGCGCGGCGGAGCGCCTGTGCGGTAGGCAATGCCGGCGGCCCGGCGTGCGCGCCAAGGATCGTACTGCCTACCCGCTGCATGACAGGCGCTATGTGGAGCAGTGCAGAGCAGTGCCTGTGGAGCGGCTTGGGCCCAGGGCAGGCTGTCGGTTCCAACAGCCATCCCAGCGTGTCCCATCGCCTTCGACGGTCGCTGCGCCACGCAGCGCCGCGTCGCACGGGTTGCCATCTCCGCCAAGCCGTGTAGGCGGCAAGTTGGCAACCTGCTCCGCCCGCTGACAGGGCGCGCGGCGCTCCGGTGCTGACCCGGCAATACGTGCGATCCGCGTCGCGAAAGCGCGACACGGAAAAATGTTGGAGTCTCAGCGGCAAAAATCGGCGCGGCCACTGTTCCCGCTCAGTGGATTCGCCAGAAAACCGGTGGAGGCGGCCGAAACTCTGGACGCGTTTCGAGCTGCAGAGTCGCTAAGCAGGACTCGAACCGAACGTGTGACCCCACCAATGGATTCCTCGTTCGGAGAGCAATCCATTGGTGGGGTCACACGTTCGGTTCGAGTCCCATTTAGTGACTCTGGGAGCTAAAAACTAGGCGTCGTCAATGTTTACGTTTACTTTCCGCGCAGTGTCTGCCTACTTTTCCCCCACGTAACGACGAAGATATCGGCCCATGCTGCCAGCGTCCAAACAGTCAAGGACGATTTTTTCGCCTCACGTCGCAGAGCCCCCCAAAAAACACACACACTAGCGGTGGGCCGTCAACGCCATTCATGGCCCGACTTCTTCGGCTGCTGCACACTGCTTGGCCTGGCTTGGCCTGGCTTGGCCGTTTTTCCGCCCGTTTGGCCGCTATCGGTGTGATGGCTGCGATGGCGCGACGGCGCGACGCGATGTGCGATCGGTGTGACGTGCGCCATCGAGTGTCGAAGCCGTTTCGCCGCGTTTCGCGCCCCGCGCTCCCGCCTCGCTCCCGAGTAGGGGAGAATTCTCACGACGTGTCGCGGCACAGTGCGCCAGAAGACCGGTGGAGGCGGCCAAAACTCTAGACACGTTTCGAGCTCCAGAGTCGCTATGTGGGACTCGAACCGAACGTGAGACCCCACCAATGGATTCCTCGTCCGGAGAGCAATCCATTGGTGGGGTCACACGTTCGGTTGGAGTCCCATTTGGCGACTCTGGAGCTCAAAACGCGTTTAGAGTTTTGGCCGCCTCCGCCGGTCTTCCGGCAAATCCACTGTGGATTCCACGCCGTGCAGTGCCGTCGGGCCGCCCTCGCCTCGCCCTGCTGCCTCGCGCCTCGCGCGCTCCAGTCTCGTTCTCATTTGATTGTCCGTCTCACTCGCATCCACTGCAAAGGCGGCACACACTACCACTCGCCGATCCGCTCCCACGACTTTCTCGCCATATACAGCCAATATCCGGCGCCAGTCTTTCAGTCTCCGGATCCACGGCCGTATCTCATTGAAGTCTTCCCCCTCCCCCCTCCCCCGGCGGGGTGGCTTTGGCGCGGGGCGGCACGCCCTCGCGCCCCTCACGCCCCGCGAGATTGACAGAGAAACCAGCCTGACAAGCGGCAGCCAGACAGTTTACTTTACAAAATCTTTTCATCGGGGCGGTTTTGATTTAATACAATATTGGCGAACCATACAGATAGACGGCTGGCTGGGGAGGAGGGGCGCGTCCCACAGTGGGCCAGAAGACCGGTGGAGGCGGCCAAAACTCCAGACGCGTTTTGAGCTCCAGAGTCGCTAGATGGGACTCGAACCGAACGTGTGACCCCAACAATGGATTCCTCGTTCGGAGAGCAATCCATTCGGTTCGAGTCCCATACAGCGACTCTGGAGCTCGAAACGCGTCTCGAGTTTTGGCTGCCTCCACCGGTCTTCTAGCCCACTGTGCGGCCCCGAGGCGCGTGTCGGCGATCACGAAGCACCCGAAGCACCCCCTCGACGCCGTGGTCTGGGTCGAGGCCTTCTCGTCGCGGTGGCGCGAGCCGAGTGCATCATACGGTGTTTCCCGCTGACGCTGCGGCCGCCCCACGATGCCGCTTGCGTAATGTGTGTGTGTGTGTGTGTGTGTGTGTGTGTGTGTGTGTGTGTGTGTGTGTGTGTGTCTGTCGGCGTGGTGCGCGGGGAGTGCCCGCCCCACCCCCGCCCCGCCCCTGGCGGCGAAAGGGAGGTAACTGAGCGCGGCTGCCGGTGAGTTACGCAGACACAGAGAGACCCGCGCCTCCCGCGAGCCGGCGGCGTGGTGGCGGCGTGGTGGCGGCGTGGTGGCGGCGTGGTGGCGGCGTGGTGGTGGTGGTAGTGGCGGTGGGAATGCGGGATGGTAGCCGAGGTAGGCGCCGTGGTTCGGAAGTCGTCCCGCCTTCAGATCGCGGGTTCTGTTCGGCGTGGTTGGGTTGGTTGGGCAGCCTGCCACTCAGCCTCCACGTCGTCGAGGTGGATCCGGACGACAGCCATGACGGCGCCGAGCACGAGTGACAGGCACGGCGTGGAGTGACGGGCCGAGTGACGGGTCGAGTGACGGGCGAAGTGACACGCCTAGTGGAGGACGGTCCAGGACTAGTGGTGCGCGGCGTGGGCGGTCCGTCCGTTCTGCTCGGCCTGCTTCGTGATGGCGGTGACGCTGCAGCTGGTGCTGCTGGCCCTGGTGGCCCTGGTGGCCCTGCTGGGGGTGGCGGCCGTCGGCGCGGCGCCCGGCCGGCCCCACATCGTCATCATCCTGGCTGACGACCTGGTGAGTGCCCGTCAACGACGCCGCCGGACCGCGCCAGGCGGTCGAGAGTTTTGGCCGCCCCCACCGGTCTTCTGGCCCACTGTAGGCCGCCCCGCTGAATACTTGATCAGGCGGGCAATTTCGGAACCGGCCGCCCGCCGTGGGGCTGCGGGGGCGTAGGCGTGTGTACTTAGACAGACGCGACCACGTCCGTGTTTCTCCAGCACAAAACTGACGCGTCAATACAAAAATTCAAGTTAAACTAACGCTGTGAAAATAGTGACAATTTTATTCTGGTACTGCTTTTTCTTATCTAAAAATTTATTTTGATTGTACTGCTACGACTCTGTCCCGTAAAACAGTCCAGACCGTGTAATGTCTGATCGACTGTTTGCAGAGATGACAGGCTGCCGTCCCGAGCGACAATTTTGCCGAGTCATCTTGTTGGTCGATTTTGCGGTCTGAAAGCGTGCCTTTTGGAGCGTGCCCGTGTGTTCACATGCACGGCGTCTTGCACAACGCCGAGTCCAGCCCAGTCACCCCATAGCCCCGGGGCGGGGACCCACAGTGGGCCAGAAGACCGGTGGAGGCGGCCAAAATTCTGGACGCGTTTTGAGCTCCAGAGTCGCTAAATGGGACTCGAACCGAACGTGTGACCCTACCAATGGATTCCTCGTTAGGAGAGCAGTCCATTGGTGGGGTCACACGTTCGGCTCGCGTCCCATTTAGCGACTCTGGAGCTCAAAACGCGTCTAGAGTTTCAGCCGCCTCCACCGGTCTTCTGGCCCACTGTGGACCCCCCCGGGGGGCCGCGGGGCCTCGGACTGGTCGGGGGCTTCCGGCGCTCTGTCCGACCTGTCCGGCCCCCGCGGCTCTTCGGTTTTCGCTCGGGTCACGTTCGGGGGCGCTCCGCCGGCGGGGGGTTCGGGGGCGACAGAGACAGACAGGCAGACAGACAGCGAACGCGCCGGCGGGGGTGTAGTAGAGAGAGACAGACAGACAGCAAACGGCACGAATGACGTCCATCGCGGACCATTAGACTAGTCCGGCACACTGATTCTGAGCGGCGCCTTGTCTCTCTCGCACTCGTGGGGCGGCCCGTGTAGGTGCGAGAGAGACAGAGCGACGACTCTCGGAATCAGTCTGCGGCTCAGTGATACCGTCCGAGCACCTTCCCACGTCAGCGGCCGGCCGGTCAGTACCCCAAAGCCGTGGAGAGTGGCCCCGCGGGGGACGGGGCGGGGCGGGGCCTATACCCTGAGTCACCTAATGACCGCTCTGACGCAAAGGACGTCCGAGAAGCGAGAGAGAAAAATAAATCCCAGTGAATAATATTTAAAAATTAACCTGAAAAAAAAATCAGTAAAATTTAAAAAAAAAATACGATTTCAAGAAATCCTAGGAGTCACGAAGTCAATTTGATTATTGTGTAAGAGTGTGGAGAAAGAAAAGAAGTGGTGTTGTGAAGTTGTGGCTCAGGGGACTACCAATGGCAGTGGTACCAATGTGGTCGATGTGCCATCCGTCGAAATTTAAACTTGACAATAAATAGAAATCAAAATGCTGGAAAATTCAAAAAATTCCAATGCTAATGTATTCCGCAGTGTTCTGACAATGGAACATCTTTGAAGTCCATCATGATTAAAATGTTCTTAGCAGAAAGAAGTCAGTAAATTAATTTTCTCGGGTTGGCAACTATTTTCTCGGCGTCTGCGCCCTTGCGAAAATCGCGAAGCTGAAAGCGCCAGCAGTCGCGCATTAAAACTGCCCCTCCATTGTTGTGGACGTTGAATTGTTTGGCTTGTTTCAAAAGGCTATGGTTCTCTAGTCATGTTTTCTTCAATTCTGTGTAATAGTTCTCCCTTACAACGTATCAACACCACGACGGTTGGTTTGACAAACTTCATAAACTCGGGAGGGATGGTTTCGAAACGCGGGTGAGTCTTGTTCGAGGAACATGAGCACTGCAAGTCGCGAGGTGGAGCGAAGTGGTCCTAGTGCTAACTGAATCACAACAACAACACTGCGCATGTCCAAAAACACTCCAATCAAGAAGTATTATTGGATAGTTCTACCCGAAAAACTGCGTTCGAACCGGCACCAATTCTATTGTTGCATCTTGTCTACCTGCAGTCAAAGAAATTTTTCATTTCGAACGTTGCTTTTTCAGCTTTTGGAGTAAGCTGTACAGACCCAAAAAGAAGCTCCGCTATTGGTCCGCCCCGGCTCGGCTCCCCCCACTCCCTTTTTTTTCCTTTGACGAGTCGAGTTTTGCCATGGAAACGGCGATTTTGACAGCAAATTTCTCAAAATTGGCCACCAAATTTTTGACCAGATTTCAACATCAGAATCAGCGTTCAAAGTTCTACTAGTCTGCAAAATCTCATTAAAATCGTATAGAAAACTTCCGAAATGCATAAAGGGCCACACAAATCAAATCTCGAGCCGGCTGAGTCCTGGGTATACTATAAGGCTACTTCGTGCCTAAAAATAGTGTTGAGTTGCCATTGAATCACTGAATTTTGGAAGAAATTGACCGACGACGTTTTATGAAACGCGCCAACCGCGGCCCTGATAGGGACAGTTGGAGCCAACCGCACCCTCGGTCCTCCTTGTCAAATGGAAAAACGATGTTGTTGTTGTTGCTGTTGGTGGACTTCCAGTCCAGTCGGGTCGGGTGCTGTCTGCGGTGGACACCGCCTACAACGTATGTGAAAGTGCTAAGCCCCGCCCCACCGGCCGTGTGTGTGTGTTGAGTGTGTGTGTGTGTGTGTGTGAGTGTGTGTGAGTGTGTGTGTGTGTGTGTGTGTGTGAGTGTGTGTGTGTGTGTGTGAGTGTGCGCGTCTGGTGCATGTGTGCGTGGGCACACAATTCACCCTCTCACCCAGACTTTTCTGATCCGGCGCGAACTGTTCGGTACGCCCCGCCTTTTAACCTTTAGGCAGGCTTTGCACGGCAGCCCAGCGCTTCGCGGAGCTTCGTGGAGCTTCGCGGCGAATGAAATAGTTTCCAGCTTCGCCGGCGAGCGGTCGAACGGACATAAATTGGAATCCCACGCGAACCGGTGAAACGAAACACGGTGCGCGTCGCCGTTCGCGTGCTGTATCTGCAAAACGGCGCGCGTCTAAAAAAAAATATAAAAATTGGTTCTAAGGTTGGGTGTCGGGAAATAATGGCGAATCCGATCGCATTTGGCTTGGCTGGCCTCGGCCGCCGCCCCGGCGTTCCCGGGGGAGATGGTGGAGAGATTAGGTCATAGGTTACGTGGGCGCGACTCTGTCTCTCTCTCTCGCACTTACGGCCCGGTGCGGCCGGTCCACGCGCGTGCGAGAGAGACAGACGCCGCCGTGGGCGTGGCGCGCAGTGGGCCAGAAGGCCGGTGGAGGCGGCCAAAACTCAAAACCCGTTTTGAGCTCCAGAGTCGCTAAATGGGACTCGAACCGAACGTGTGACCCCACAAATGGATTCCTCGTTCGGAGAGCAATCTATTGGTGGGGCCACACGTTCGGTTTGAGTCCCATTTAGCGACTCTGGAGCTCAGGCGTTTAGAGTTTTGGCCGGTCTTCTGGCCCACTGTGTGGAGGTGTAACGCCTCTGCCACGCACATGGCGGGGCGTCCCTGGGCCGGCGCCAAAGCGGAAAACCTGGAAAATCTTCAAAACCAGAAAAGCCTGGAGACCTTTTCACGTTGCGCGCATTTGCGCGGGCGGTGGCACTTCGGCTACAGCGAGACAGTCTTTTCGCCGCGTCTTTAAAACAAGCCCTGGAAGGAGTTTCCACCGGCTGTGTAAATTGCGCGGCCAACGACCGGAAAATTGTTCCAACCGTTCCAACTCGTTGGATGTGGAGGCGGAGGCTCGGAGGGCGGGTCCTGGCCTTGCCTGGCGGGGGCGCTGTTGCTTGGGCTTGTTCCCACTGATCTAGCGCACGGGGAGGTTTAATCTGACTCAAGTGGGGCCCCGGCGTCGCTCAGCGAGACACCCCCCGAGTCCCCGACGACGGCCCCCGAGGCTAGACACCTCAGGCTGACTGCGCCATTCGACTGTGTGCGTGTGTGTGTGCGTGTGAGTGGGACCAATGAGGCTGTTCTGTGGGACGAATCAAGCAGGCAGGCGGTGTGTGGAGCCGTTGATCCCTGTGTGTCAGGGGCGCGTCTCTCTCTCTCTCTCTCTCCCTCTCTCTCTCTCTCTCTCTCTCTCTCTCTCTCTCTCTCTCTCCCTCTCTCTCTCTCTCCCTCTCTCTCTCCCTCTCTCTCTCTCTCTCTCTCTCTCTCTCTCTCTCTCTCTCTCTCTCCCTCTCTCTCTCTCTCTCTCTCTCTTTCCCTCTCTCTCTCTCTCTCTCTCTCGATGTGGCATGGCAAGAAAATGTCACGTCTCCGCGGGCGCCATAGATATTGGCGAAGGCCTTCCCTTTCCACCAGGCAGGGTCATGGCTGTGTGTGTGTGTGTGTGTGTGTGGTTGTGTGCATACATCCACGCACACACTTGAGTCCGTCCCTTCCCGATGCCGCACCCGCACAAAGACGCCCCGTTTCTGCCGCTCGCCGCTACAACAGTGTACCTACATCCCCATTCCGTAATTCGGCTCGTGAAATCGGAAAGGCGGAATGGCCGAGGGCGAGTTTCGGCGAATCGGACCGCCGCTGCTCGGCCAGGCGTTCACCGTGACCGTGCGTTCGCCAGCCCGGTCGTTGCGTCAGTGCGCTGCTGTTTGTTCGGCAGTGCGTTTCGAGTGCAGGACGTTGCGCCGGCCGCCATTAGTTGAGTAAACCGCTGCAGAAACTATTACCCAATAAGACTTTTCCCGACGACTCGCCGCGGAATGCGGGAGACACACCATGCAGCGGCCGCACTGTGGATTTGCCAGAAGACCGGTGGAGGCGCCCGAAGCTCCAGACGCGTTTTGAGCTCCATAGTCGCTAAACGGCACTCGAACCGAACGTGTGACCCCACCAATAGACTGCTCTCCGAACGAGGAATCCTGGTCGGAAGCTGGTTCAACAATGCCTCAGCGGGGGCAGCTATCCTCGAACGCACTGCCGATAGGCCAACGGCGTGGGAGCTGGCGGTCCTGCACTGCACTAACCCGCCCACCGCCTACCAGTGGGCCACCACACGCTCCGAACTTGGCGTGTTTAGCGCCGCCGGCACTGATCAGAGCCAGGAGAGACAGAGAGGCAGAGAGAGAGACAGGGAGAGACAAAGAAGCAGAGAGAGAGAGAGAGAGAGAGAGAGAGAGAGAGAGAGAGAGAGAGAGAGAGAGAGAGAGAGAGACAGAGAGGCAGAGAGAGAGACAGGGAGAGACAGAGGGAGAGAGCCCCTCCAGGATTCAAGCACCATAACACTAATCCCGAGGGTCGGGTTACGACTCACCTCCCCGTGGCGAGCTCAGCATTCACGGGACGTGTGTTTGTGTTGGAGCGGGCTGCGCGTCGACGCACAGTGGGCCAGAAGACCGGTGAAGGCGGTCAAACTCCGGACGCGTTTTGAGCTCCAGAGTCACTAAATGGGACTCGAACCGAACGTGTGACCCCACCAATGGATTGCTCTCCGAACGAGGAATCCATTGGTGGGGTCACACGCTCGGTTCGAGTCCCGTTTAGCGACTCTGGAGCTCGAAACGCGTCTCGACTTTTGGCCGCCTCCGCCCGCGCCGCCTTTCTTCCACCAGGCCCGCGGAGCCGACGGGCCACACAAGCCGACCGCGGCGCCGGAATCCTCTCCAAAGAAGTGTCGACTTTTCGGGTCAAAGTTAAAATCCCCGAAAGTAGTGGCACGGCAGGGCCAGGGCCGAGGCCAGGGCCAGGTTGGGGTTGGAGGGAGAGTGCCGCTGCCGCGCTGCCGCAGTGTTTCGTGTTTCTTTGCGCGTCGGCTCCAAACTTCTCTCTCCTCGCGGAGACGTTTCTTGTTGACAGTGGCGGTGCGGCGCGGTGCGGCGCGGTGCGGCAGGCTCTGCAGTGTGGCGATGGCCCAGCCGGCGCCCTGGCAGGGCTGGCAGCCCCAGGCAGGTCTGGCAGGGCTGGCAGCGCTCGGCTGATCATGGCGCCGAGAAGAGGGAGCGGCTAAGTGAGGACTTGGGAGGTGTCGGTCTAAGTCTCCGCAAAGTCGCTGGAAAAGCCAGGCGGGCGAGGCGGAGGCGGACTTGTCAATCCCGCAGTCCTGCCACCCACGCCACTGCAAGCGCTGCAAGCCTCGTCAGCCTGCGTCACCCTCGACCCTGTGGGCTTCCCCGACCGACCGTATCCGCCTCGCACAGTGGGCCAGAAGAGCGGCGCAGCCGGCCAAAGACGCGCTTTGAGCTCCAGAGTCGCTAAACAGGACTCGAACCGAACGTGTCACCCCACCAATGGATTTCTCGTGCGGAGAGCAATCCATTGGTGGGGTCACACGTTCGGTTAGAGGCCTGTTTAGCGACTCTGGAGCTCAAAGCGCGTCTGGGGTTTTGGCCGCCTCCACCGGTCTTCTGGCCCACTGTGCAACGGCCTCAAAGCGCTTCCGGACGTGGCCCCCTGTGTCTCGGTGAGGTTGGCAACCCTTTCGACACTGGTTGCGTCGCGGCTCCTTTTTTCGGCCACTTAGGTGGCAACACTGCTCGTTGTGAGTCCGCGCAGTCCGTCCGGGGCGTCCGGGCTGTTGGCGGCTTCGCTTTGTGATTGATCGCGGCCGTCGCTCCATCTCCGCGGCTTACGCCTCGCCACGCCACTGACAATGACAAATTGGCAAGTAATGGATGGTTGGCAGCGCCGAGCCGCGCCACTGTAGGCGCCACTTTGATTTTGGCACTTTGGCGGGCCTGCGCGGCGCGCGCCTTTCCGCAGTGTTTCCGACCGCAGCCCTGATTGGGAGGCGTCTGTTTCACTTGATGTTTTTTTATTCGCTCCGTCGGCGTGTTTTTCCGTCCGGACATTTCCTCAGACGGAAAAGCGGGCGGAAAAGCCGGCGTCGGCTGGTGCGTCACGGCGGCACACTGCAAGAGAAAGACCGCCGGATTAGGGAGTCTTGTCTCTGCAGCGAACAAGTATACACGAGACAAGAAGTGTTCTGCGAATCTCGACTTTCCTTCCAAACGTGTTCCCTTTTTGAAAAATTATTTTAACTCACTTTAAAAGAAAAGTACCATTAAGAGCCTCACAAAAAATTATGACGAGAAAAATTTTAGTTCGTCAACCTTACCTAACCTTACCTAACCTCACCTAACCCGACCTAACCTTACCTAACCCGACCTAACCTTACCTAACTGACCTAACCTTACCTAACCTATCCGAACCTATCCTAAACCTAACCTTAACCTAACCTAAATCAACCAAGACAGCAGCATTTTCCTGAGCTACTATCTTAGGGCGTCTGTTTGAGGGTCTCGGGGGACCAGCCCCTCCTCCGGCGGGACAAAGTGGGTGACTCCTCGAGTTGCTCGCAGCGCCCCGCGGAAAAGAATTGACCCCCTTTAGTTAATTAAACCGAGCAGACTGCGCGCCGATTCTGCCCCCCCCCCCCTTTCCACTCTCAATCCGCTGAAGCGTGGGCGTGTTCGCGGCGCTTGGGAACAAATCGCGTGGATCGTGCATAAATTAGGCCGCCCCCTCCAAAGGTCCTCCGGGGGGCTCGCGCGTCGCGCTGCCGACTGATTTTTCGTCGCTCTGTCTCTCTCGCTCCCATACGGACGCCCCGCGAGTGCGAGAGAGACGGAGCGACTCCCTCGGAATCGGTCTGCAGTGCCACTAGAACAATACAACGAACGAAACGAGCGGCAGTCTTTTTTGGCGCGGCGGCGCGCGCCGCCAATACTTCAAACACGCGCCACTTTTTTCTCTTCCATTTTTGTTGTTGTTGTTTGGGGAAAATGACGGAGGGGAAATGGCTGTCGTGGGATGCCTTCCGCGTCACCAGCAGTGACGCATCGGCGGCGGCGTCGGGGGGTCTCTGGGAGTCTCTGGCGCGCGACCGCGCCACAATAGAGATCCTCAGAGCGTCTCCGCGCCACGATAGAATAGGGATGACCTTTCGACTGCTGCGTGCCACCGTTTGGAATTCGGTCAGGCGTTCGGCCAGGCAGACTGGCAAAGCTTTGTCACTTATTTTTAATGATGATTTCATTCTGCCATCAAGTGACGCCCAAAACATGGTCCAGAATGTTGACGGTGCATGGCGATGCCGCAATGACGTAGCACAGAGCCGCCGAATTTCGGCGGCCGCCCCGGCACGGCTGGCCGCCGGCTCGGGCCAACTCAAGTCGCATGTGTTGTCCGACTGAAATGAAACGAGAACAAACAAACAAATACAGGCGGGCGGAGCTGGCTCGTCCAGAGCGAGCGGGCTTTTAATCCTACCGCCGCGTGGCAGCCTGGCAGCAACCCGACCTTTCCTCTGGGTGGAAACTTTCCCGCCAAAGCGGAGGCCGCGCCGCGCCGCCCCTGCCCCATTTGACGGTCCGGTGCTTTGACATTATTGTTGTGAAAATTATTGGCTGGGCGGGGGTCGCGTTTCTCGGACGCCGGCGAGGACCTCTGCGAGGACCTCTGCGAGGCCTCCGGGGAGCGGCCGGCGGGCTGGCGGGGGCGTCTGGCGGCCAGGACCTTGCCCGGCCTCGCCCAGCCTCGCCGATACACCATAAACCACCCTTTCTTCTTGTTCCAGGGCTGGAATGACGTCAGCTTCCACGGCTCCGACCAAATCCCGACCCCCAACATCGACGCGCTCGCCTACAACGGCATCGTGCTCAACAACTACTACACGCAGCCCATGTGCACGCCGTCCCGGGCGGCGCTGCTCACCGGGGTGCACCCCATCCACACCGGCATGCAGCACGGCGTCATCCTGGAGCCGGAGCCCTGGGGGCTGCCCCTGGACGTGCCCGTCATGCCGCAGTACCTGCGCGGCCTCGGGTACCGCGCTCACGCCGTCGGCAAGTGGCACCTGGGCTTCTTCCGCGCCAACTACACCCCCGAGGCCAGGGGCTTCCACTCGCACTTCGGGCTGTGGAACGGCTACCACGACTACTACACTCACCAGACGCAGGGCTCGGTGAGTCGCCAAGCGGCCTCATTGCAACAACAAAAATAAAAACAATGGCGAGCGGGGTTTTGAACCCACGACCTCGGTGATCAGAAACTACGTCGCTAACCACTACGCTACCCCGCAGTTCATCGACATGGACGGCTACGACATGCGGCGCGGCATGGCGGTGGACTGGGGCTCGCGGGGCGGCTACTCCACGGACCTGTTCACGGACGAGGCGGTGCGCGTGATCCGGGACCACCCCGTCGGCGACCGCGCGCCGCCGCTGTTCCTGTACCTGGCGCACCTCGCGCCGCACGCCGGCAACTACGAGGCGCCGCTGCAGGCGCCGGCCGAGGCCATCAAGGCCTTCGGGCACATCAAGGACCCCGAGCGCCGGGTGTACGCGGGTGAGTCTCAGGGTCAATGGCCGTGACGCGTTTTGAGCTCCAGAGTCGCTAAATGGGACTCGAACCGAACGGTACGTGACCCTACCAATGGATTGCTCTCCGAACGAGGAATCCATTGGTGGGGTCACACGCTCGGTTCCAGACCTGTTTCGCGACTCTGGAGCTCAAAACGCGTCTAGAGTTTGGGCCGCCTCCACCGGTCTTCTGACCCACTCTGCGGCGAATGTTTCGAGGTCTGCGATTCTATTCCTTTCCGAATTTTGCAGCGATGGTGTCCAAGCTGGACGAGTCGGTGGGCCGCGTCGTCGCCGCGCTCCAGGAGCAGGACATGCTCTCCAACTCGGTGATCGTGTTCGCCTCGGACAACGGCGCCATCACGTCGGGCCTGCACCCCAACAAGGGCTCCAACTGGCCGCTCAAAGGGGTAAGGGCAACTTGCGGACTCGGACGAACGCGGACACGGGGCATGCACGCCCACACAGTGTAGATGGATCCAAGCGAAAACAGGCGCCCACACAGTCAGACAGACAGGCAGGCAGAAACTGAAACACGGTCGAGTTGACCGGATTCTCGCGGGGCTACAATTGTCGTACTTGCGGCTCGAGCTTGGCGCGAGTTGGTCCAGATTTGCCGCGTCAGACACGCGCGTGGGCTGACGATGACGTCACTGCGTGGCTTGGCGGCCGCCAAGCCGCTTTGTTTCATTGTTTTTGCTCCACTTTTCGTTGTTGTCCGCTCCGCAGGTGAAGGGCGGGCCCTGGGACGGCGCGGTGCGCGTGCCGGCCTGCGTGTGGTCCCCGCTGCTGCAGCGCGCGCGCCGCACTTCGCAGCAGCTCATGCACGTCACCGACTGGCTGCCCACACTGCTGGCCGCGGCCGGCGCCGCCCCCGCGCCCGGCCTCGCGCTGGACGGCGTCAACCAGTGGGAGGCGCTGTCCGCCGCCAGCGGGGCGCCGCGCAAGGAGGTGCTCGTCAACGTGGACTACCGCGCCTCGGGGGCCGGCGGGTACGCCGCGCTGCGCCTCGGCGACTACAAGATCGTGAACGGCACGGCGCTGCTCGGCTACCAGGACGCCTGGCTGGGCGACTCCGGCCTGGAGGAGCCCGCGCCCGGTGAGTGTGCCGGTGCAGGCGGCCAAAACTCTAGACGCGTTTCGAGCTCCAGAGTCGCTAAATGGGACTCGAACCGAACGTGTGACCCCACCAATGGGTTGCTCTCCGAACGAGGAATCCATTGGTGGGGTCACACGCTCGGTTCGAGTCCTGCTTGTTCAAACTGCTAACGAAACCGCCCTCCGCAGGCGTGGACTCCGTGGCGCTGGCGCGGTCCAGCGGGACGGCGCGGTCCCTGGAGGCGGCGGGGCTGCCGCTGGCGGACGGCGGCGTGGCTCGCGGCGTGCGGGCGGCGGCCCGGCTGCGTTGCGGCGCCTCGCGCGTCGAGAAGGACGGCTTCCGCTTCCCCGAGTGCCGGCCGCTGCTCGCGCCCTGCGTCTTCGACCTCGCCGTCGACCCCTGCGAGCGGCGCAACCTGTACGGCACGCCGCTGCTGCCGCCGGACGTGCGGGCCGCCCTGGAGGCCCGGCTGGCCGCGCTGGCCGCCACCGCCAGGCCGCCGCGCAACGAGCCCTCCGACCTGCGCGCCGACCCCGCCTACTGGAACAACACCTGGACCAACTGGGCGGACCTCCTGGACGCGGCCGACGACGGCCTGCCCGCCATGTTCCAGCCCCGGCGGCGGGGCTCGCGCTGGGGCTAACGCCGTCAGTGTTGCCAAAGTCCCACGACGTCGAAAGGGGCAGCCAGGACACTGTGAATATACTGAGCCTGCTCCTGCGAGGGCAGGCTGAGGTTGGCAACCCTATCGACACTGTGCACTGTGGGCGTTTTGAACTACTTAAGGCCACACCACGAAGCCGTTAACCATGGCCCGGTGAACTTAGTGTGCGTTTCCTCGCCGAGGACGAGAGCGAGCCCCGCGCTCGGCAGTGGGACTGGCTGCTCTGCGGGATGGCAAGGAAGCACCATTCTACTCCGCGCGGTGAAAAGACTCTTGGAGACTCTGTGTCCGCGAGCAGCCGACAAAAGGCGCGACAATAAATGCGATTTATTTATGCCCTCAACAGAGTCGTCATTGTCCACCCTCCAACCCACAGACGTCTATCCGCTATCTTTCTTTTCTTGAAAGTTTTGTTTTTTTTAATCAAGTTGCTTTTTCCTCGTGTGCTCCCGCCTGGTTGGTCGCCGCTATCGGGTTGACCCAGGGCCTGACCCTGGCAAGGCTGGGTGCCGTGCCGACCCCACCGTCGAGCCTGACGCAGTTTAGAAGATGGTGGCGCACCGAGCACTGCGTTTCGTCCGTGAGTACGCTTCCTGTACTACTGTCCTCGCGGTGCACTGCTAGGGTTTGCTGGTGAACCTCAGAGGGCAGGTGAACACCAGCTTCGTTTCTAACTCTCGCGCGCAACTTATCGTGGTGAAAGATTCAACAACCACGCGGTGATCCAGTGATGAAGTGCGGGATGGAACCTGTCGTTCTTCACCTGTAATTTTGACTATCTCTCCCCTGCCACCATTCCAACGTTATTGATTGTGATTCGGAATAACGCTGCTAGATGGGTTGCCTACCCACCGCTCGACAGGCGCTAGAGTTGGTGCACTGTAATGCGTACGCACGTTTTTCTCAGACAGTGCCTCGTATCACAGAGTCCAAAGTCATGGGATGGGCTGTTCGGGTCGACTCTCGGGTAAAGCTCCAGTCAACTGATAAGTAATTTGTAATAAAATGAGGTTGTTTTAAACGTCTTGCAGTGGTGGCGCTGCTGCTGGGACGCATTCATGGACACGGCCCCGAAGAGCCACATGCCTCCGGGCAGCAGGAGGCCTGCGTCGGTGAGCAGCAAGTAAGCGAACCAACAGGGTTTTCCCCCAAAAATAATAGCAAAATGAAAATACCTGGTTGAAACAGATAACCCCACATGCCGAGATGTTAGGAGTCGGTCCGTACACTCTAAACTACCCAGAAACTGGGCGCCTTTGTCGCCCGCCCCACTTTTAAGGGTGCCAAATGTCGCCCAGCTCCTGGGCACCTTAGTCCTATGTTTAGAGTGTATTTCTTTCATTTTGGGTTGCAGTGCCTGTCCGAGTGCACCGCCCCCACGGCCGTGCTGGCCGTGCCGGAGGAGGTAGTGCTCGTCCTGGGCAACTCGGGGTCCGGCAAGTCGGCACTCGCCAAGCTCCTGTCGCGCAACGACGGCGACATGGTGGCCGTGCAGGACAACAACAACTACCTCATCGAGGGCGACGGCATCGGCAGCAGCATCGCGTCGGTGACGTCGGTGCCGGAGCTGTACCACGACAACGAGACCCTCACCGACTACTTCGACTGCCCCGGCTTCGAGGACACGCGCGGCACGTGCACTGAGGTCACCACCACGTACTACATGAAGGACATCGCCCGGCACGCGCGCAGGGTCAAGGTAGGACATCGCAGTGGGCCAGCCGGGTGGAGGCGGCCGACGCGTTTTGAGCTCCAGAGTCGCTGAACAGGTCTCGAACCGAACGTGTGACCCCACCGATGGGTTCCTCGTTTGGAGAGCAATCTATTGGTGGGGTCACACGTTCGGTTCGAGTCCCATTTAGCGACTCTGGAGCTGAAAACGCGTCCGGGCGGCGAGTCCACCTCAGTGTTGCGTTGTAGGTGCTGCTGCTGACGCCGCACTTCGCGGTGCGCAAGGGCCAGGACCGCGGCGACTTCGTGACGATGCTCAAGCACGCCGCCACCGTGCTCCAGAACCCGGCCAAGCTGCAGCAGTCCCTCGCGCTGGTGGTGACCAAGATGGAGGCGCCCATGATGAAGGTGCGGGGCCGCTACGTCCGCGTGCCCGACGTGGAGGTCAAGAAGGCCGTGGCGGCGTTCCTCAGCACCCAGGTGCGGCCCTTCCTCGCCGCCATGGCGGAGGACGCCGGCGTGGAGCCGGAGGAGCGGGTCGTGTTCGCCAACGCGCTCAAGCTCGTCGACATCCTTCTCGGCGACGGCAAGGGGTGAGGCGGCGGCTCACAGTGGGCCAGAACAGCGGGTGGAAACTCCCTTAGCGCGGCTGGGACCATGTCTCGGGCGGCTCGCCACGGCCCGGTCGGCCGCCCGGCGCCCGAGAACGGGCTGCACCGGCCTCTATTATTGCTTAGAAATCAATTAAAAATTTGACTTTTTGAAAAAGTGGCCATGCTAAGCCACAATTTAAGGACCAAGGAATCGTTTTCATTCATTGGATTTGACCAACAGACATGTTATAACAGTGAATTTCTCTCCGAAACTTTTCGGCGGCGACGCGCTATCCTGCGAGCTACGGCCATCCTACGCATAGCAAACTTAATCCGTTTCGTTCTCAGCAATCGTTCATCGCATTGCAAATCCGAGGACAGATTCGGAATCTGCGTGAAATTTCCTGTGGCGTAGGACGTATCGTTATATTTAAAACTCTCAAGATAAAGTGTAGTCATAAGAGGGAAAATAACCTAAAATGACCTTGAAAAACCGGCAAATTTAACGTAGTTTTCTCATTATAACTACACTTGATCTCGAGAGTTTTAAATATAACGATACGTCCTACGCCACAGGAAATTTCACGCAGATTCCGAATCTGTCCTCGGATTTGCAATGCGATGAACGATTGCTGAGAACGAAACGGATTAAGTTTGCTATGCGTAGGATGGCCGTAGCTCGCAGGATAGCGCGTCGCCGCCAAAAAGTTTCGGAGAGAAATTCATTGTTATAACATGTCTGCTGGTCAAATCCAATGAATGAAAACGATTCCTTGGTCCTTAAATTGTGGCTTAGCATGGCCACTTTTTCAAAAAGTCAAATTTTTAATTGATTTCTAAGCAATAATAGAGGCCGGTGCAGCCCGTTCTCGGGCGCCGGGCGGCCGACCGGGCCGTGGCGAGCCGCCCGAGACATGGTCCCAGCCGCGCTAAGGGAGTTTCCACCCGCTGGCCAGAAGACCGGTGGAGGCGGCCAAAACTCCAGACGCGTTTTGAGCTCCAGAGTCGCTAAACGGGACTCGAAACGAACACGTTCGGTTATCTAATCTAATTTAGCGACTCTGGAGCTCAAAACGCGTCTGGAGTTTTGGCCGCCCCCACCGGTCTTCTGGCCCACTGTGCGCTGGGCGTTGACCGATATCGGTCGCGCACTTGAGACAAATTTGTTGCAACGTTTGCCCTCTGCTTCGGCGCTTCGGCGCTTCGCAGGGACCAGGGCCGCATCGGCCTGTTCCACGCCCCCGACGAGGAGGGCGCCATGGACGACATCCAGGTGATGCGCGACGGCCGCGCCGCGCTGCTGGACCTGGTGCTCCACCGCATGAGGTGAGTCTCGAGTCTCGTCACTGAGTCCGAGTGACGTCATCGCCGACCTGCCCTCCGTGTCCAGGTACGCCGACGTGCAGCAGGACGACTTCGGCTTCTCCGTGTCGGCGCGCACCAAGGTGTTCGCGCTGGAGAGGGCGCGGCGGCTCAACGCGGACGTGGTGGCCGCCCTGGCGGAGATCAGCGCCACCGCCAAGAAGCAGTCCGACGAGGCGTACGACCCCAGCGACATCCGCGCCACGCAGGAGCGCTACGCGGAGCTGGAGGAGAAGGCCGCCGGCGTGGCCGCGCGCGTCAAGAACAGCACCGACGTGCAGGTGGGTGGCGGCGTCCAGCGCGTTTTGAGCTCCGGAGTCGCTAAATGGGACTCAAACCGAACGTGTGACCCCACAAATGGATTGCTCTCCGAACGAGGAATCCACTGGTGGGGTCACACGTTCGGTTTGAGTCCTGGTTAGCGACCCTGGAGCTCTCAAAACGCGTGTAGAGTTTCGGCTGCCTCCACCCGACTGTCTTCTAACGGTGCTCCCGCTGCAGGACTTCTGCCAGCGCGCGGCTGAGGACTTCGACGACAAGGTGGCGGACAAGTGCCGCCTGCTGGACGTGCTGCAGGTGGTGAGCGGCCAGCCCCTGGTGGACAAGGCCGTCCTGGCCAGCACCTGGGCCGCGCCGCTCGACGGCGTCACCGCCTACGTCAAGGGGAAGAAGGCCTGGTACTCGCTCCTGCTGTCCCTGTACCCGCGGCTCAACTCGTACCGTGTACAGGTGAGTGCGTGACTTCACACAGGATGCTTCGCACTCCCTCCGTCGTGTCGCCACCGATGGTTTGACGGACTCAAGCCAATCCTCCCGATCTTTTCAGTCGCAGCGCCAGAAGGTCCGCCAGGCCGTGTTGGACAAGTCTGCGGGCTTTGCCTTGGTGCCGGGGTTCCCGACCCAGGCCGAGCTCGCCTCCATGGCCGCGCTGTGGCAGAATCAGTCCGTCCCTCGGTCCGAGCTTGACGCGCTGCTGTCGAGGGCTGGCCGGGGCCCCGAGGCGCGCTGCCTCCCCGACGGCGTGGTCGTCGTGGAGGGAGAGTCCCTGCTGCTATCCGAGGCCGTGTCCGTGGCGCGCAGCAGCTGCGGGTGGCCAAAGCTCCTCGAGGTGCACGCGCTCAACACATTCTTCGTGGACGACAGCGTGAGGCTGCCCGGCGTGCTCCTGGCAGTGGTGGCGCCGCGCTGGGAGATCCTGGGCTCGCCGTCGATCTACCTTGACGGCGAGCCCGGCGGGGCGCCTGGCAGGGCGGCGTGGGGCGCGGCGAGCGGGCAGCGCGGCCAGGACGGCGCGCCGGGGCAGCCCGGCCACCCTGGCGGCCTCTTCATGGCCGTGGGGCTGGAGTTCATCGGCGGCAAGGTGCTCGTCAGCGCCAGGGGCGGCGCGGGGGGCGCCGGCCAAGACGGCGGCGCGGGTGGCAGCGGGCGGAGTGGCGGCGGCAACGGCGGTGACGGCGGCCACGGCGGTGCGGGTGGCTTGGGCGGGGCCCGCGGCGCGGCCGGCGTCGTACACCTGGGCAGCGAGGCCCCCGACAGCCACTTCCTGCTGGCCGTGGCGGAGGGCGCGCCGGGCTCGCCCGGGCGTGGTGGCCGCGGCGGCGACTACCGTCCGCACACCGCGCTGCGACGCCGCAAGCGCTTCGTCATCACCTCCATCGTGCTGGGCGTGCTCGGCGCGGCCGCGGCGGGCGCCGGCGTGTACTACGCCACCAAGCCCAAGGCACCCGAGCCGCGCTCCTACCCGACCTACCCGACGTACCACAACGGCGCGCCCGGCGTAGACGGCGCGGCCACCGCGGGCCGCAGGGGTGCACAGCAGTCCCTGGGGACGTCCCTCGCCAACGCGTGGGCCGCGGTTCCGGCCAGGATGACGACCTACTTCGAGCACAACAAGAACCACCCCTACCTCAAGAGGGAACTGCAGCACTTTCTCCGCGCGCTGCAGGACAGCCGAGAGCTGCAATCGAGACGCATTGCTTACAGGGCGTGATTCCCCTTGCACTGCTCAGAGTCCTAAAATAAACTAAAATCTGTTTTTTTCCCTGTTCTATTCTTATTAAAATGTTTTCACCTTTACCGAAGAGTCCTTATTTGTTCACGAACCTCAGAAAGACAGGCACGTCCCCAACACGTTACCGTTTTTATTTTTATTTTGAAAACATCCAGATGGCTTTAGTAGTACGGCCAATAAACACTCAAATAAGTTTTTAATTATTTTTCTTAAGTACCACTTTTTGAATGACGACGCTCGCTTCCAGTTTGCTCTGAGCTTTATTTGGCAGTCCCGGGCGAAGCGACGCGTCAGCTTGGCGGCGCGCTGCGCAGTTTGAGATGCAGAGATTGCTCCGGCTGACGTGAGTTGTGTGCACAGCCAGCGCGGCCAGCGCGGCCAGCGCGCCGGAGTCCAGACAGATCATTATAAAGGGCCGCCACACTGTCTGTCTACACCACACTGTCCGCCCCTACACTGTGCAGTGCGCCGCCATTGACTGCGGCAGACTGACACAGCACTGCCAACTGTTGCACCGCGCCATGATACCGCTCTTCTTCCCGCTTGAGCTCCAGAGTCGCTAAATGGGACTCGAACCGAACGTGTGACCCCACCAATGGATTCCTCGTTCGCAGAGCAGTCCATTTGTGGGGTCACACGTTCGGTTCGAGTCCCGTTTAGCGACTCTGGAGCTCAAAACGCGTCTAGAGTTTTGGCCGCCTCCACCGTCGGATAGGGTAAGCCACTTCCCCGACAGCGCCTCCCGTTCCCATGCGACTCGGCTAGTAGTCGCAGCGCTACAGTCGCGGCATCCCCAAGAAGTTGGCAGCCCTGTTCAATCAGAGCGACAAGGACGACAAGCACTGTTTGTGACGCGTGGTTGGCGGGTCTGTTTGGCGGCAGTGTTTGGCTGCTTTGGCGGCGGCCGGGGCTTAGCCGTCTGTTCCCAGTGTTCCCGCACTCCGCCGCACCACGCCCCGCCACGCCGCACTACGACGCAGCCAGATAGTTCTGGACGCGCCTTTAGAGCCTTTTGAGGCTGCAGTCGCTTTAAGTCGCATTAGTTCTGAAACTCGCCAACTCGCCGCCTCGGTCGCGCGGTGCACTGCCGAAGTTTCGTCCGTTCTGTCTCTCTCGCACCTATAGGGGACTCCCTGTGAGTGCGAGAGGGACAGAGCGACGACACTCGGAATCAGTGTGCTGTAGAGGGGGAGCACGCCGTTGTTGCCACAAGACAAGTCCCTCAAATAAGTCCATCAAATGACCCTCGTTTCACTTTGCCGAGTGACTGTTCCATTTTTAAATTTTCCTTGGAGCTGGCTTTGGCCCGCGCTGTGCGAACCATTCCACGCCTGGCCGTCTGAGGCACAGTGGGCCAGAAGGCCGGTGGAGGCGGCCAAAACTCTAGACGCGTTTTGAGCTCCAGAGACGCCAAATGGGACTCGAAACGAACGTGTGACCACACCAATGGATTCCTCCTTCGGACAGCAGTCCACTGGTGGGGTCACACGTTCGGTTCGAGTCCCATTCAGCCACTCTGGAGCTCTAAACGCGTCCAGAGGTTTGGCCGCCTGCGCCGGTCTTCTGGCCCACTGTGAGGACGGCGTCGTGGCATGCACCGAAGCACGAGGGCTACAATCGGTGGCGAAGGGAGGACCCGGCGGGGACCCCTGTCAGCGGCACGTTAGGCCCCCCAGGCCCCTCCAGGCCCTTTGGGCACACAGTGCTTGGCAGGTTTACCAACCGTCAGGCGCGGAAGCGCAGCAAGCAGGGCGATGTTGCCGTTGGCACCACTGGCTGCGCAGTTCCGCTGCACTGCAAAAAAACAACAACAAAAAACAAACAAAAAAACAGCATTGTTTTTTTCAAGTTTAAAATGCAGGGAAAACCGGAGTTTCAAGACACGGAATGAACCCCACTGATAAAGAGCGTCGCGTTGGTGTCACTGCGTACTGCCGCCCGGCCCTGCCTGCGACGGCCTGCGCTGTCGAAGCAACTTTTTATCGGTCCAACTCATCCGATAGTTGGCCGGCCCTGGTGGCTGCACTGCATCGGGTATCTAGAGTCCGCCAAGTTGGCCACCAACTTTCCGTAGGCCGGCCGTCCTGCCTCGCCCTGCCTCGCAGTGCCGCAGCCAATCGGTGCAAGTTGTGATTGATCAGGTTGGCCAGCACAGCCTGCACACTGATTCCGAGAGTCGGCATCAGTGCTGGAGACTGTGGAAACTGGAGCGGGAGGTACGATCAGTGAGAAGAGAGAGCGTCAGGTGCGGCCAGCGTTTTCGTAAAGGTTGCCACAAGTGGGCGAAAATAATGAAGGGGGGGTGAGGGGGGGGGGTAACGGAACAGGAAACGGGTCGCGGAACGACGAGGCGTGGCCAAAGTTGGCGCCCAGCTTTCAGTGCCATAATGTACGCAAACACGGCGTGTGAGTGTGTGAGTGGTAATGGAAGTCTCTCTCTCTCTCTCTCTCTCTCTCTCTCTCTCTCTCTCTCTCTCTCCCTCTGGCAACAGTCGCACCGGATCAGGCCCGTCGCGTCCCCTCTGAACTCCATCCAGTGGCGCCGCAGTGCCGGCAGTGCCACAGCTAAGCGCCACTTTGCGACCATTGTAGCGCAGCGCCACGCTGCGCCGCGCGGTCTGACATTTGGCGGGCGCGCTCCGGGGGCGGGGGGGGGGGGGTAGTAGAGAGAGAGAGAGAGAGAGAGAGAGAGAGAGAGAGAGAGAGAGAGAGAGAGAGAGAGAGAGAGAGAGAGAGAGAGAGAGAGAGAGAGAGAAGGGGGAGACGGAGAGACGGGGGAGGAGGAAAGCAGCATTATTCTGCGAAACCTTTCAACCAAAGCACGCGGTGACAATGAAACTGTCGGGGAATGGAATGGCACGGTTAGGATGCACCAGCCACCGACCAGTTGCACTGTGTCAGTGTCACTTAGCAACAGGCTTCCTGCGTTCCTGTGTCTGTCGCTGCGGCCGCACAGTGGGCCAGAAGACCGGTGGAGGCGGCCAAAACTCTCGACGCGCGTTGAGCTCCAGATACGCGTGGGTCTGAAATCGAACGTGTGACCCCACCAATGAATTGCTCTTCGAACGAGCAATCCATTGGTGGGGCCGCACGTTCGGTTCGAGTCCCGTTTAGCTGCTCTGGAGCTCAAAACGCGTCTGGAGTTTCGGCCGCCCCCACCGCGGTAGGCAGTCCCGCCGCGCGGCCGTGCGCGCCGAGGATCGTGTTGCCTATCTTCCGCATGACAGGCGCTGAGGCTCGCGCTGAGCCGAGTGGAGCGGTGGAGCATTGCAGCAGGTGCCTCCACTAGAATGTTTTAGAGTGGACGTTTGACCGTGCAGGCAAATAGACTACCAAGCGAACCACCCCGTATGTGAAAAGCAAACTTGTCATTCTTTATTTTTGGCTTGCGACTGCGCATCTTGCGTGCGAGTGCACGGGCATGCCCGCGAGTGGTGGAGGTGCGATATGCCGAAGAACAGTGCAGGTCCCCCCCCTTCCCTGTCCTCCCTATGACGCCCGTCACCGCAGGACGTGAGAGAGACAAGGTCACAGGCCCCCAGGGCCCCGGGCAGGCCCCCAAGGCCCAGTCCCGGTCCCCGCCTGGCCCCGCCAGATAGTGCAAACACAACCTATCCGTCGTGGCCGCCCCGGCGACGCCCCGGCGACGCCCTCGCGACGCCCCGCTGCAGACTGATTCCGAGTGTCGTGTCCGTCGCTCTGTCTCTCTCGCACCTGTACGGAACGCCCCGTGAGTGCGAGAGAGACAGAGCGACTCCGCAGCACGCGCCTCCATTTCTCACCGAGCTTACGCTCCAGCCGCCTGATTCGGCTCATCGTTTTTCGACGCCCCGCCTCTCTCGCACTCGAGGGGCGTCCCGTGCTGGAGAGAGATGGACGGTGGGGACACGCGTCAAGAAGGCGGTGGTCCGCGTGCTGCGCGCTGACGGGGTGCCCGTCTTGGGTGTCTCCTTGGAAGACGCGAGGAAGCGGCGTCGCAGCCGGATTGGCGTGGTGGTCACGTGGGTAGTCGGAGAGAGAGAGAGAGAGAGCGAGAGAGAGAGAGAGAGAGAGAGAGAGAGAGAGAGAGAGAGAGAAAGAGAGAGTCCTGGCGGGGGCGTCCTAACAAGTCCGGGGCTCGCTCCTGCTTTTTCGGCTCCCCGGTCCAGCGCTCCAGATTCTAGACTCCAGATTCACACGTCTCTGCTAAGCCACCCCTTGAGCCCCGTCCCGTGCCGTCCCGTTTCAACTGTCAGAGAAAATCAATGATTTACACAAAAAACTTTTCCCGACAAAAAGGGAACGGCAGGCCAAGAAGGCACGCTGGCCCCGCCGGGTCGACTTGGGTCTCTCTGGACAATGGTGCGCACAGTGGGCCAGAGAACCGGTGGAGGTGGACAAAATTCTAGATGCGT